TTCTTTTTATCCTAGTGTAAAGTCATGACCCCTCTATTCTAATGCCTACCGAGTCGGTTTTTTTTTTTTTTTTTTTTTTTTGGGGGGGGGGGGGCGGAAGTTTTTAGAGCAGCAGTGATCAAGCGGCGGAGGCTCAGTAAACTGCTCATATGGGTACCGGGAACAAAGAGAAATGCTCGTTAAAGTCATGGAGCTGTTAAGTGTGACGACGGCAGTAAACAAGCGTTGCTCTCTTACGGGGGTCCCGATGAGGAAAATGGGAAAGAAAATGAACGGCGACCAGATGCCAAAGAAGGTGAGGCAGACGCCGTTTGCCGCCCTCGATCCGTAGGAGGACGCCCTCGCACGGAGCACACTGTCGCCTTCCATGGGGGCAACGCGTGGTCCCCTCCCTAAGAAACTGGCAGGAGGACGGGGTCCGTAGTCGACACCGTAGAATGGCTCGTGCCTGAACAGGATAGCCTCTTTCAAGACCGGGTGCCTAGACTTTTGACTAAACTAGCCGATTACTACCGCTCCAGTGGCCCCGGCATATCGGTGTTTGCTGATGTTCCTCGCACGTTCTCTATCGGAATCATACGAACGTCGATGTCGTCTTCTTTCTTGTTTCGTCTTCAAGCACGTGCGAGGCTGTACCAGGTCTACCTAAAGCCCCTTGATAAAGGTGTTTTCACAAGTACCGCCAACCATTGTTGTGGAAATGCGCAAGACACGTGCCACGAGCGGGTGCTCCGCCGCCATTCGCTTCCAAGGGCCGCTCATTTCAGTGCTGCGCCGCCATTTGCTTCCAAGGGCCGCTCGAGACCTGGGCCACGTGCGCTCGCGAATTAGGCGCTACTTGCAAACACAAACGAAAACATATCGAGGGGCTTTAGGTCTACCATGTGTATCTGCGAATTGACCCTGTAAGTGATGACGTCACATCATGGCGCTGTGCCCCAAAGCCAGCATTATTAGATTAGTTTATTTACGGAACTGGTCATAGACGCTGCTTGCACGAGCAGTGTACCCCAGAGGCTCCGGAAGTCTTTCTTTAGAGGGGGGGCTCGACATCCCCTAAATCCTCAAGGTTAGGTTGGTTTCAGGTTGACATTAATTGCCATCTTTGAATGAAAACATATTAATGCAGCGCGTTCGCATATTCACGCACATATCCATGGAAAACAAATTAAAACAATGGCTCAGTAAAATAACAGGAAAAGAAGCTTGCACTGACAACTCATACAATGATTGGATAATCATCGAAATCGGCCGCACCATGTGTTCTTTATTTTTTCTTTCCTATACCAACTGTTACATATCAACCGCAGCTGTGCCTATGCCAAATTGGCTATGTCTAAAAATGAAAACCTTCCTTCATTTAGGGATTCTCGGGAAGCATGATGTATTAACGCAGACGTACACAAACAGACTTCGTCCGTGTCGTTCTGTGTTTTGTCCCTTGTCCGTATCCCCAGTCTCGGGTTTACAACTATGCTCAAAGTGTTAAACGTTTTAGACAAAACCCCGAGACTCGGGGGAAAAAAAGGACAACACAACACAGTCTCAAACACAGCAAGTTGGGCTATCGGATGTCTCAACTGGAGGCAGAGATTGCACACATCGGTATGTACCTCAGGAACAAGTACATCGACCGTGATCGCTTCGGACTCCTGGCGTCAATGCAGGTTGGGGGGCATCACAAAAGGAAGGTGCTGAAGGATATGAGCTGTGTTTGAGACATCATGTTGTGTTGTCCTGAGTTTGTAAACATGCGTCGCCTCATACCTCACCACACTGCGGGCACGACGCCGCATGCGCGCAAAGCTTTCACCATCGAAGGCGCGCCTTGTCAAATTTGGGAGCTCGTAGACTTTCGCCTTTTCTAAGCACTCCCGAATCCCCACTCAAGCTCACCAGCCCCCCTCCCTCTCCTAATGATGGCCTTTTAGCGCCTCGGTAGTACCGCCTGCATCTTCTGGGCTTCTTCCTTCCACACGGTGGAAGCAGACAAACGCTCGCCAACGTCGTCTTGTCGGAATCCATTCATTTCGCTGTCCCCTCTTTGCTCGCTCTAAACTGGTTGTCAATCAGGCTCATGAGTCCTGCCTGTCATTTTCTTCTGGTTTTGACTTTTCAAGCAAGCCTCTCCGCCGCCCCGGTGCTTTTTGTGGTTGGCGGAGGTGAGGAGGGCGGTAGGTTAGCATGCATAAAGGGTCATTTCATTTATTTCGGCTCAGGAGAGACGGAGGTACAGCAGATAGGCCGAAGGCCCATACCAGATAACCTGCAAACACGCAAACTTAAAAAAAAAAAAAAAGAGGGAGAGGGAGGGGGGGCTCGGCAGCTCGGTCCTGAGGACAGGAGGGGCTCAAGCCCACTCTGCCCCCCCGCTTCCGGAGCCCCTGGTGTACCCCCTCACCACGACTCGCCTCCAATCGTTTGACGCGCCGGGCGACTGATATGGTAACTGCAGTGTATTCTATGGAATACATACGTTTCGGATGACAGCATCTAGGTGGCCGTAGATGCTGTCAACATCTACGGCCGATTTTGAACGATGTGCCGAATTTGAGCAATATTAGAAATCTTTTTTCCTGAGTTAATTTATCCCTCACCGTGAAAAGAACAATATATACATTAATTTGTATTCTGCAGGTAGTAATGATATGTACTGTCTCTGGTGTTAATTTAAATGCGATACCCCAAACAATGTAGGCGACAAAAAATACCACGTTTAGGGCATAATTGTCCGTAGGTACATGTTTGGATATTTATTCGAAACTCGTCTTGAACAACAATAATCATATCTTAAGACGACACTCACCTAGGCTATAGATCTTTCTTAAAAAGTTTGACATCTCTACCATAAATAGCTTCGGCTATAGCGCGCTTCAAATATGGCACAAACGACAATTGTCAAAAACCCGTCGTCCTTCCTCGCTCCTTCGGGAATCTATTTTTCTAAAACCAAGCATGCCAGATGATTGAAATAAACGGCATTGTCTTTCGCAAGGAATGCGGCACCCCATGTAAAATTGCAAAAAAAAAAAAAAAAAATTACGAATGTACCTTACTTTTTGAATCCAAATGAAACCGCCCGCCGGTCTTTTGAAGTTCGACGAACTTCGACCTTTTGCCCTAAAAGTTCGAACGTCGTCGAACTTTTGACTTTTCAGGAATCGAGAGTTCGACAATTTTCGAATTCTTTAGATTAATAAGTTCGAAAGTTTGAAAATTATCGAATTTCTTAGCGTAGAAAGTTCGATTTCCGTTGAATTTCTCGATATGAAACGTTCGAAAATTAGATATCTTTCGAACCTTTCGAACCGCGTGAATCGATCATCGAAACTTTGATTCGAAAAAAGTTCGCGGCATCCTTGGTTAGAAACTCGTCAGAAGGCACTACTCGTCACATGCTCGGAGGTTCGGATGTTCAAAGCTACGTCTTTTCGACCTAAATAACTGTGCCATTGGTAAAAGATAGTAAATAAATAAACATAAGAATAAATGCAAAAATAAAAAGCTGGCGAAAAAAAAAAAACTATATCTTCTTTCATTTCATTTATTGTTATAAACATAACAATAAATGCAAAAATAAAAAGTTGAAGAAAAAAACTATAAACTATGTTGTATTCTGGCATATTCAGAGGGCCAGAACTACGAAACAAGTTTCTCCGACCAAAATCTGTACAGGCTAAAAGAAACACGTCCCAAAAACGCAAAAAAAAAAAAAAAAAATTTGTATGACGTGCTGAGCTTGAACTATTTTAGAAATCTTCCCCTGTGAGTTAATTCATTTCTCAACGTGAAAAAAAAAACTATAAATACATTATTTTGTATTCTGCATATGGTAATGATATGTACTGTCCGTGGTGTTAATTTAACTGCGATACCTCAAACTATTTAGACGAAAAAAAAATTACCAAGTATAGGGCATAATTGCCCGTAAATACGTGTTTGGATATTTTTTCGAAACTCGTCTTCTTAAGACGATACTTACCTAGGCTATACATAGATAATTCTTAAAACGTTTAACATCTCTTGAAATAAGCGGTATTGTCTTTCGCAAGGTATGTGGCACCGCATGTAAAAATGCGAAGAAAAAAATTACGAATGTACTTCACTGCTTGAATTTAAATGAAACCGCCCGCTGGTCTTTCGAAGTTCGACGTACTTCGAACTTTTACTGAAAAACTTTTGACTTTTCAGTAATCAAAAGTTTGACAATTTTCGAATTCTTTAGATTAATAAGTGCGAAAATTCGAAAATTATCGAAATTCTTAGCGTAGGAAAATTCGAAAGCTCGAAAAACTTCGACCTTTTTAGTGCAGGAAGTTCGAAAGTTCGAAAATCATCAATTTTTTTAGTCTATCAAGTTTGAAAGTTCGACAAGCATCGAACTTTGCAGCGTAATAAGTTCGAAATTTCAAAAAGCGTCGAACTTCTTAGTTTAACAAGTTGAAAAATTCGACTTCCGTCAAATTTCTCGATATGGCAAGGTCGAAAATTCGAAATTTCTTTCGAACCTTTCGACCGCTTGAATCGATTATCGAACCTTCGGTTCGAAAGAAGTTAGCGGAATCGCTAGTAAAAGTAAAACGCACATTGCCCTCGCAAAACACATCCACATGGCGCCGGAACGAATCTTGATTGGTATCCAAGCGTGGGAAGGCACAGAGACGCAGGCTTTCGGCCCGGCGTGCCATGAAAGCTTTGATCCTGCCTCGAGACCAGCGAAACTTGCTTTTGATGAGTTGTGCCTCTTTTTTTGCAGCACTGCGCTTTGGTAAAATTTTCCATGTATTTACAACGGTAAGTCTCAACGGTTACATAGGGTCATGAAAAGCTCCATCGGCGAATGACGACGAACGAGATAAAAACATATCTTGAGCACGCTGTTTCCAGCCTCTGCGACGCTAGCAAAACCAAAAATCGTCTACGAGCAAGATGGTCGTCTGGTGGCTTCGCTCGCGCTCTTGCTCGCGCTCCAGCGAACAAGGGGGGGGGGGGGGGGGGGGGAGTATTATTTTCCTGGTTTTTCGCGCGCTCCTTTCGTCCCATTTGAGACGGAGACAAGTTTTCCGCGGGCGCTCAAAAATATCGGCTGCGATGAAATGTCTGGTGAACGGCTGCGGGAATACCCCAAAAAATCTCGGCGTGTCTTTCCATCGACTTCCAGCCAAGGAACCCCTTCGAACTCGGTGGTTGGAAGCCCTCGGTCAGCCCGCGTTGCCCGAGTACGACATGAAGTTCCTGCGCGTGTGCTCTGATCATTTTTCGCCGGAGTCCTACACGTCGTGGATTTCGAATCGACTCGGCTTTAGCTCGAAGAGAAAACGTCTCAACGACGTCGCACTTCCAACTCTTCACCTCGATCGAGCGGCGGCGGAGGCAGTAGCGCGACCACAACCTGTAAGTTTAATTCTTACATACACATTTTTATTTTCCTAGTTTCGTTCAATGCGGCCGCGCACCGTTTGAACACGAGTTCGTGGATGGGCGCTTCTGGGATAGTTACTGCATGTATGAAGCGAACGCGTCAATTCCAGAACTGCGCCCAAATCGAACGGATTTACTGTCCTAACAAAACAAGCACACACTCAACAGCCGGTTTGTAGGTAAGGAAGCTCATGCAGTGATTGGGAAGGTGAAGGGAACGACAGGGAGAGGAGCAGGCATGGTTCTTCGACATGAGGCAATATGGGAAGCAGACGGGCCAAAACGGCCGAGCAAAAGCAGCGTCCCCCTTCCCTTCTCCTTTCCTTGCTGGCAGCCGCTTGACTATGTTTTCATAGTAAACTCGCACCATCTGTAACCCCAGGTAACCCTCTTTACTTTCCCTAGGAAGATTCAGAAATGGTGACAAGAGCCAAGCAGCGTGCCAAAAAGAAACGTCCTCTGATGCTGGCCATCGTAAGTTCATGTTTGAGGCATTCTGCTAGCATGCAGGAGGATGTATTGCAGACCATGGTGTTTTTCATGCCTAGGTGCCGATGGCCAGCGACACTGCACTTGTCGCGCAGCGTGACGTAAGTGGAGTTGCTCTACTACGGCATGCTCAATATACTGCATAAACTTACCAGAGAAAAAAGTTAGAAGTCAAGCACTTGAAATCCCTACCTATGGTGTTTGTCATGCTAATAAAGGCGTCCAATTGTCGCATTAAATGAAGCCTTGTTCCGAAACAGCGTCCCAATCCAACGAATCTACTTTTCGAACACAAACAAAGTGGGCAGTTGATTTGTAGATAATGAAAGCTTGTATTTGCTCATGCAGTTATTGTAAAGGGAAAAGTGGCATTGGTTCTTCGACATGAGGCAATATGGTGACACTGCGATGTTCTGGGAGAGACCGCATGTCAGCAGGAAGAGGTGTAGTGTGCTCTGCGTGTGGCAAGCAGCGTGCCACACAAAAGGGCACTGCAAAAACAGGTTCCTTGGAATTTGTTATCAAAGTCCACGTGGAGCCTACAGAGAAAGGGCTCCAACTTCCTTGCAGCCTACTGAAACACACCATTAACGGTCACACAACAACCTTTAGCAGACCTCTTTGTGAAGAGGCAGTCACGAATTCAACTGTCGCTGCTGAGGCCCGGCTACACAGTTGACATGCATGACGAGCAGTCGGAGCAAAATGAAATAGCCAAGCTATGTCGGACCCCAATGCGATCGTTCGTGAGGTGCGCACTGGTTGAAAGTTGCAACTAAGCTATCGAACCCGGAGGGCATGTTTGAGATACGACCCAGGCAACCTCTACTGAGAGAGCAAGAATGTGGTATATTGACTGAGATTGCATGCCAGCATGCAGTGGTGTTGCAATCTCTTCTTGCACCGCTCTGCTGCAGCTCACGAATTATTAGAGATTGAACCCTCCATCTGGAACAACTTGTCTCTGCTCTATCGTTCAGTATATAACCGAAACAGACAAAAGACAAAGAGCCTGAGCAAAAGCAGCATGTTCCTTTTTCTCTGCTTGCCATACTGGTAACTATGCACATAACCAGAATTTTTTTTTTCTTTTTTTTTTTTTGGGGGGGGGGGGGGGGGGGGGGCAAAAAATATTTTGCTTTGAAGGGGCTCTCTGCTAGCCTCAATGTAAAAATATGCTGAGTATTCAGACATATTTAGGTCCAGTTCTCATCCTTGAAGCGTTTCTGTAAAATTTATCGTACAATGTATCAAATCATAACCAAAAACGAGCGAATCCCCGATTATTGAAGGCATACCTTTGGCACTTTAGAGAAGATTAAGCTTGTCAACTCCGGTGTTAATCCTTGTCGCTTGCTGGTTATCGAGCCGTTGCAGGCTCTGTCTTCATTTATTGCCCCCTTGTCGCTACGTTTTACTGTCGCGGATAGAGCCCTGCATGGATAACAGTTTGATCTTCCGCATCCGATCCTCATCCGTAATGATCTTAAATGATGGTATCTGCATCCAAACGGCATCCGCAAAATTGGGAACCGCATCCAACTCTCGATCCGTGCATTTTTTTTTTTAAAAACACGTGGATGGTATTTTATAGGCCGTCTGCTCGCTTTTTTACAAAATACTCTTCGTGTAAAGAAAAGGGGGAAGTCATTTTATTGTATTCTGTTTTATCGTATTTATAAAACAAGCAATCACCCTTCCAGCGACACTTTGTATCGCTCGAAAGATGATGGCAGTTATTAGATTGTCCTTGAAAGTCCGTGACACTGACACTCTGTCCAGTAATTTCCAGGAAGGAAATTTATGTTTATTATCCTTTTTGCTTTGTAAAACCCACTTCAAGCAGACACATATTTTACAAACAAATATTAAAGGACAGACTAAATTAACGAAGGACAGACTAATAACATTGTGTCATTTTATCTAGGCCAAACAATAAAAAAGTGGGAGAGGAAAGGCACTCACTCGCTGCAGCAAAATACTTGTGTATATGTGGTGATGCGCAAGTACACCACTGGGAAAATACACAATATTCAATAATGGCAGCACCTCCTATCGGTGACAGTTTTAAACACAAAACCTCAACTGCATGCTCGGAACTGGAACAAGTTGGTTCCAATTGTCGCAAAAAAGAAAACGCACACACACGCAATGTTTCACTTGTCAAAGTTGTTGTGTAGAAGAAACAGAATATTGTCAACTCGGATGGATTCATACTGGTTCGCCTATCAAATTATGATCCGCTAATGAGAAGTCTCTTTCCGTTGGTGCACTTGATGCTGGTATGGAATGCACAAAATGCACTACAAGAATGAGGTCCAAAAACTCGTGTTGGTGCAAGTTCCACCACTCCAGAGGATCGAATTCAGTCTCTATATATACCTGTAGGCGAAGAAGCCTCTTGCAGGCTTCTGCTTTCTTGTGGCTTGTACGTTTTGAGTTTTCTTTGCCCAAAAACTGTTTTCCACTCTTTCCCTGCCAAACAAGAGCATGCCTCCGGGATGACTGATAGTTCTACATTCTTTGCTTTTTCTAGAAACAGTATTTTTATCGATATAACATTTTAAAGAGATCTTTGGTGAGAATCAAAACTTTAATGACGTAAAGAACAATTTTCTCCCCGATTGGCACCTTTTATTTAAGCGAGTAGTTTGCGCCCGCAATGCATTTGATGATGCACTTTATAGTGTCACTCACTTATTCACTCCACACTGTACGGTCGCACACGTTTATGGGTTGTCTCGGCAGAAATGCATCCGGATCTGCAGATATCCGATCTGCATCTGCAGCCCCTGGTATCTGCATCCGATCTGCAGTCCGCCAAATCTCATACTTTTTATCCGAATCTGCCAGTTCACTGCGGATATCCGCAGATATTTGCGGATATGCAGGGCTCTGGTCGCAGAACATATCGTAGCCACGTTGAGGTACCCTAGCCAAGATTGTCGCATCACTCACTTTGCAAGTTTGCTGGTTTGCTAGACGAGTCTATTTTTAAAACTGATACTGGGCTCGCAAAAGGGATAGGAGGAGAGACTTTGGGGAAGGAGGAGAGATAGGATTAGCGACTTCACTCGTCTCGAAGGTTGTGAAAGATCATGTTGGGGACCTTCAGACACATGTGCACACCCTCGCCCCACAGAGAGGACGCGTGGCTCCATTTACAAACAATACCTATGGGGGACCGTATAACAAATACAGAGCTTGTTTTGGGGGAGACGGGATTTTATAACTTTTAACTGGTATCTGTTGTGCTACGTCATAGAGTGCAAGCTGTACTCCTCCGGACACTTTCCTTTGGCACCGTGGTGAAAGACAAAGATTGGTCTGCTGGAGTGTGCTGCTCACTTTCAATTTCTTTCCCTATTGGTGGAGGGGGGCGGTGAACCGGGTCCAGACCCTTATCCCTCCCCCTGGCTATGTGCCTGCTGGTAGCCACATGTCTACAGCTAACACCTGTTATGTGGTCTTTGTAGTCAGCTGCCATCATTTGTAACCTCTGGTAATTCTCCCTATTTCCTCCCCAGAAAGATTCAGAAATGGTGACAAGAGCCAAGCAGCATGCCGAAAAGAAGTTGCGGCTTCTGATGTTTTCCAATGTGAGTTCAGTTTCGGGGCATTGTGCCCGGGCAGAGGGCATATCGCAGACTACTATATTTTAGAGCGCAGCTCTTAGGCGCCCGTTTTTGCGTACACAGTCAGACCCATTTATAATGAACAGCAGGAAACGTCATGATCAGTTCGATATAGCAAAAAACATTTACAACGAGCTTCTACGATGAGTTCGTTGTAAGGCAAGAGCTTCTCTTTCTTTCTCATCTCTTCACTTTCGCCTTGTAACAACACGCTAAAAAGCTTCTTTTTTTTGCATGCATGCAGAGTTTGTTCTTTTAGCTTATCTCTCCTTCTAAATCGCTTTTCTTCGTGGGCAAACGCTTTGGGATGAAAAGTTTATTGTTATTTTTCTGTGTGCGCATGCAGAGTGTATTTTTTTTTAACTTTCTCTCCTTCTGAATCGCTTCTCTTCGTTCAATTTTGTTCGCAACTTGAGCTTTTGGAATTTTCTTTCTTTCCTACTTCTTTTTTGGGGAAGGGACAGGCTAGAAGACGTGTTTGCACATTTTTGGAAGCCTTCCCGGGGGGGGGGGGGGGGGGGGGGGGAGAGGGGGAGGGGAGGGGAGGGGAGGGAGGGAGGGAGGGAGGGAGGGAGGGAGGGAGGGAGGGAGGGAGGGGAGGAGGAGGAAGAGGAGGAGGGGGGGAGAGGGGTGTTTGATATAGCCAATATGTTGTTTGTTATAAAACATACTTTTTACATGCATTTTTATTTAAATTTTCCATGAGTTCGATATTGACAATAATTCGCTGTACACGAGTTCGTTCTAAATGGGTTTCACTGTAGCGGTGTCGCCGTTGGCGTAGCTGCCCCGCTAAATTTAAGGGAAATTGAATTGGTGTTGAGGTCATGTGATGTCAATTTTCCAGCTAAGGTTCACAGGAGGAGGAGGGGTAGGGGAGAGGGGCATACCCTCCCCTCCTCCTCCTCAAGTGCTGCACTCTAATTTTGCATTATAGAAGTTTGTAAACTTTTTTTTTTTTTTCAGGAACAGGCAAGGAAGGAGCTGGCCGCCGGTGTCACTGTACCCGTTGCACAGGGTGACGTGAGTGGAGCCACTCTACTATTGTGCATAATGGAAATGGGTCTCGTCATGTTAGCCGATGCCGTTTTGTTCAACGTTTTAGATATAATGAATGTACTTTGATTGGCTTGCTTTATAGAAATGAAAGTAAGGCTGATCTACTACTGTTTTTAGTAGATAGGGGGTGGGGGTAATCTCAGGGGGTAATCTCGTGCATAAATGTTGCTATAGCCAAAAGGAAAAAAGTGCCTTTGCCATTTGCAAAAACATTTGGTGAAGCTTTTATGGGCATTCATTGAACTGTTGAAGGTGAACGTTTTCCATCAGTAACATGTGGTTCTATTTACAGTCAGCCTGTGCAAAAAAAGCACTTTTCTACACCAACAGAACTGACAAGTGACATTTCCCAAGCACGTTGGTGTGTACTTAATTGAGTAGGTGTAGGAGGGAACAACGAAGGCATGAAGCCAGATATCAATGCAAGGATGTATATAAGCATGCATTGAAGTGCAGTCCGAATCGGCCGCAAATAAATGTAGCTCATGACTATCGTCCCCATAAAATTTAATTCCAGAAAAACTCATAAAAATGAATCTAAAAAGTAGAATGGACAAAAATTTGTTCAGAATGCTCCAACCTCTACCTTTTCTTTAGCATTGGTGTGCTGAAAATTATTTATAAAAAATTAACTAGGCAGTGTAAACTAATGAAACTTTCTGGGAATACTCTAGATGTTGGTGGATGTAAATATTACATTTTTCAAGTTCAACTTTTTTTTTTTGCAGAAATTGATTTTTCTGGGTAGTGCGCCCCCTTAAATATTGCTTCTCCCTCTAGAACTCTAAATACAGCTTGAAAGTGGAGCCATCGGATCATTTTCAGCATGTCCGGCAAAAGCACATGGGTAAGAAACAATTCAGTACTTTCAAATGCCAATTTATTTTTATATATTTATTTATACATACCCTCAATGCCTCGGGGGCGTTATAGAGGGCAGTGGGTCAATACAAGTGGTTCTGAACGGCTAGTCGGAATCGCTTGGAGTCGGGTATGGTAGCTATGGCGTCCGGGAGGTCATTCCAGTCCACAACTGCTTCTGGGATGAGGGAATGCTGGTGTGCTTGACTTGATGACTTGGGACGAGCGATCTTGCATGAATGGTCCAGTCTTTATGATATGTAGGTGGGCGGGTTTAGAAGAGACATTTTCAAGAAAGGTGTGTAAAAGACTTTATGAGGAAGAGAAAGACGGGAAATTCGATGGCGGGAAGAAGGTAGAGAAAGGTTAAGACGAGACTTCATTGATGATACACTTGAGGTACGAGAATAGTCATTAAAAATAAAGGGAGCAGTACGATTCTGAACGCGTTCAATAGAGTCTGTTCAATTTTCCTCTTCCGGATTATAATCAAGTAGTGGTTTCAATTTGTGAATCATTGAATTTACTCTACTGTTAGGGTTTCACAGGAAAGAGAGACAACACTGGTTTGAATTACAAACACAACAGAAGAAAGCTGTGCATGCTTTGAGATTGAAACCTTAAGTAAGATCAAAAGCCAAGCCAAGAAGTTATGTGGCTCTCTTGACCTCAAGCAACTTTGTTCATCTATCGACAGAAGCAAATCATCCAGCCTTGAGTCTTTCTTCAGTGCAAAAACACACAAGACTGACTGCCCCCTCAGGGTCATTGTGCCTGAACAAGGCACTTGGCAAAAGTCCATCGCAGTGTTCCTCCAAGACAAACTAAACCTTCTTGACATCAATGATCCCTACCTGATTAGGAGCTCAGATGAGGTCAGGCAATTCCTACATGATGTCACAGATAGAAGCCTCAACGCTTTTTCCATCGATGTCAAAGATCTTTATTATGCCCTTCCTCAAGACCGTCTTCTTAGGTGCATAGAAGAAAGTGTTGACTCCTTTGGTGTCATAGCCTTTCAAAACGCGTCAGGTGTCTCAGTCAAGGGTTTCCCTGATTTAATAACCGCCTACCTGAATTCTACTTTTGCCACCTGGGAAGGCTTAACATACCTGCAGAAAACGGGAGTATGTATTGGCTCCTGCATAGCTCCCGTACTCAGTGACCTTTTTCTGCCATTTCATAACAAATTATTGCAGCATAAACTTGACCAGTCCAAAGTAGTGCGAGTGTTTCGGTACGTGGATGATTACCTGATTTTACTTGACAGTAACAATAGAACCTTCCCCGACTTAGTGGCCAGTGTTCTGTCCACCTTCCAGGCCTGCCTTCACCCGTTAAGACTCGCCCATGAACTTCCAGTTGAGCGATCTATAAGATTCTTGGACCTTCGACTGTTTTTTGAAAGCAGTCACACCTGCTGGTCCTACGAACCTCAAGCAAAGAAGCCACTTCTAAACCATAGTTCCGCCCACTCTAAGCTTGTAAAAAGAGGCATTGTAAGACACTGCCTAAAAAACTCTCTGGAAAAATCTTGCAAGCACACAGTCCTCATGAGTTTCAACACGCAAATTTCCCGGTTGGTTACAGCGGGCTACCCCCCGTCTTTATTAACCTCCGTTGCCGAAGTCCTACTCAGGGAGGTGAAGAAGGAAGGAGCTATCACACGCAGAGCTAGAGACCGCACCACAAGGCCTGTCATAGTTCCCTACATTCATAACCTATCCCACAAGCTCAAGAAAATGGCCAATAGAATCAACGTAGACGTTGTTTTCTCCGCGCCGAATAGACTTTCTAGCTTGTGCAAGAAGGTGAATGGGACATCAGGTCGACCAGTTGGATGCATCAAAAACCATCAGACAAAGTTTGTGTCCTGCAATGAGGGAGTAATCTATTCCTTCCCCCTCACTTGTGGCAAGTGTTACATCGGACAGACGGGTCGCTGTCTAAATGACCGACTTCGTGAGCATCACAATAACGCCAAAAATGCCAACTCGGGTCATTTAGGCATCCACTGCAGAGAATGTGGATGTTCTCCCCTCCTGGACATATGCACCATACTGGGACGGAGCAGGAACAAACTGACGCGAGAAATAGTAGAAACCGCTAACATTGTAAGGCTAGATAGAATTTGTGTTAGTACTCCTTCGCTAGCCTTAACGGAAAAAGAGTTGAACTATATAGCACAAGCACAGTAGCAACGTCCACTGTACAGAGAATCCATTATTTTTTCTTCCTTCTATATTTTGTTTTATTCCTTTTTCTGTTTTTTTCCTTTCTCTTTTTCATATGATCATCGGTTTTTTGTTTCACTGTCATTTGCATCGGAGTGAAGGAAGATGAAGATGATGCATAATACACTTGAGTTGTCAGTCAGCGCTGCGTGAGTGTTCTTCCTGTGTATGCGTGAAATTTCTTTTAAGTGTGTCTGATCTTGTGCGCTGTGAAGCAGTATCATTAAAAACAGGTTTTGTGAATGCGACACAAAACGGCAAGCAAACCAAGTGGATTACTCTAGTTGCCTATTTATTACGAGGGACATTTTTGTTTTTGTTTATTTTATATGCACAAGGTATATGAGAAGAGATAATTCAAATATGTAAATGAGTAAACCTTACGTAAACCTTACCAGTCAAATGAAATAAGAAAAATACCAAAAACAATGTCTCCAGGCCAGGATTTGAACTGAGATCTGATCCAATAATCCATATCTTTTCGGCGATTTCCGAGAAAAAAAAAAAGGGGGGGGGGGGGGATTGTTGTTTATGGGCACAGAAGTGAAGAGACGACAATGATCGCTGGCTGGGGGTGTGTCTGCTGCCCTCTCGTTAGTATTGTTAGATAAAGTGGAAGCTTTCTGGCAGTAAGGTCGGTTCTATATAAATCTTCCCTACATGTCAAACCCCTGATGACCTCTCTACAAACCTCTCTATGAAACTGTTGGGAGATGGGACATTTCTAAGCTTTTTTAAGGGTGAAACTTTCATTTACCTTAGTATCTTCACTTATACGTATGAGTAGTCCCTCAAATCTGTGTACTAGTACAAGCATACTTCACATTTGTTTCACTTGTGCTTTACCATCTTACTATATAGAGAAAGCTTCTACAGAGCTAGCAACACGTGTTAATTAACAAGGCCGTGTTGCTGAATTGTCGGCATTGCCTAAACTTGTGTTCATTCGGAGAGAAGATCTTGGCACTCATGTCCGATCTGTGCCCCTTGTTGGCCCTCTTTCGGTGGTGCAAAAAATTCAGCACTACAGCTTTGTTATCTATGAGGTTGTTTGTGCTAGTCACTTGCTGGTCTTTTCGTTTCTATGATGCATAGGAGCTAGGTCGCAGTATGTGGGTCATGCCTGGTTGCGTAAGTGGAATCGGAGATATCTTCAATTTCGAGTTTCTAACAGAACCCGCTAGAGGGCAGCTTTCACACTTCCCATTGCGAGCAGACCAAGCGCTGAAAACTGTATGAAGAACTTGTGCCCTCGACACCCTTCGGCCAGTATGGGGCCTCAAAATATCTCTAGGATTAAGAATGGTGAGATGTTGTTTTGAGGAACTTTCACCGTAGCCTGGTGCAATCCTTGAGTGCATATTTTCATGCTGTTTTCAGGTACTCGGCTTAAACTGTGCTGGAGGAACCAGGTGGCTCAAGGGACCCAGACGAAACCTTCGGAATTTATGATGTCTCGCAGTACGTCAACGTGCCTCACAATCATCCACATTATTAGGCCGCACGATGGGACTGGAGCAACGGTTACTAGTACAGTAAACTCTCACTTGAGCAAACTTCAAGGGACCCAAGGAAATAGTTCACTAAACTGAATGTATTCACTAGAATATGGAACAGCATAGGGCACAGCATACATCGAGTCAAAAGTGTGAAATGCAGTTTATGGAGTCATGTACATCGATATATACAAATTCATAACAGTTATGTTGCTGCCTTTCTCATTTTGGAAAAAAAATCTAATCGGTGGGTGTTATAAAAATGCTTTCTGAAACGTTTAAGAGAGCATTTTTATAACACCCACAGAGTCGTAGCTGGACACTTGGGAATCCATCGTCGCGATTGTGGCTGTGTAGCACATTTTGAAAATTGTTCTGTAATAGGTAGGAGTAGAAACACATCGACAAGAGAAATAATGGAAGCGGAAAGGATAGCACAGCTGAAGGACAAGTGTGTAAGTAGTCCTTCTATAGCGCTGTCGACCAAAGAGCTCCAATTTCTATCTAAATGATAGCGATGAGGGAGAGGGACGATTTGTAAGTGTTTCGTTTAGATATTTTTCCGTTTCTTCATTTTTCTTCTCTTTTACTGTTCTTTTGCCTTCTCTTTAGAATTTTCCTTGTATTTCGTGCTACTTCTTCTACTTATCACGTTCTGAAGTCAACCCAGACGTTGAAGAGAAAGATGAAGTAGTCGAATACACAAGAATTGCAAGTTCAGCGCGTGTGCTTGTCTTCCTGAGTGTCTGGTGCGAGATTGGTTTTCCCTGCGCTGTCACCGTCAAGCATTTTTGCATAGATTGCGTATGAAAACCGCCAGGGACTTTTTAAAGATTGTTATTCTGAAGTATTTGTTAAGCCGACATTTGCTTAAGTGAGTTTACTGTAATCATATTCATTGCATCGGTTAGTGCCACTTACCATGCGATACCGCACCCTGCTGTCTCCAATCTTCATCAGCATGAATGTCATCCTTGAATGTCACATAAACCAACGAATCAAAGCACATAGCTGCCGTCACTTAAATAGCCCCTGAAAAAAAAAAAAAAAAAAAAAGTTTTTTCTGTAACAGTTTGGTTTGGACACGCGTGTCAAAAAAAATCAATTTTAACTCGTAAAAAAAAAATTTTTTTAGGGCAATATTGACGGCGCGAGACGCGATTTAATTGTTAGTCACCTCTTTTCCACTCGTCTCTCGGACTTGTGAAGGAGAGGTGGATCGGCTTCGCCTTCACGTTGAGGTGGAAAGACAGTGACCATATCGTAGAGCAAATGGCCATTCCGTGATGTCATGGACTTTGCACGCAGAATTTCAAATGAATCTCTCGCCGTCAATATTTGTCTAAAAAAATTTTTTTTTTTTAGCATAAAATTTATTTTTTTGACACGCGTGTCCCGTACAAACTGTTTAAATTTTTTAGTTTTTGTTTTTTTTGGTGGCTTTTTAAGTATGAGACCTCAAAATATCTCTGCGATTAAGAATGGTGAAATATTGTTTTGAGGAACTTTCAACATAGTGTGGTGCAATCCTTGAGTGCATATTTTTATGCTGTTTTCAGGTACTCAGCATAACCTGTGCTGGAGGGACCGGGTAGCTCAAGGGACCCAGACAAGCCCTTCAAAATTTATGATGTCTCGGGGTGCGTCACCGCGCCTCACAATCATCCGTCTTACTAGGTCGCACGATGGGACTGGAGCAACAAACAGTTAATAGTAATCATATTCATTGTGTCGGCTAGTGCCACTTACCATGCAATACCGGACCCGGTCTCCAAACTTCATCAGCAAGAGTGTCATCCTTGAGTGTCAACAAACCAACAAATCAAAATACATAGCTGCCGTCACCTTAAGTTAATTATTTACAGTGCCTTGAAAGTGAGATTTTGTGCTCTGAAACTACCGAGTGTGAGCATGAATTCAATATATCTAATCTAGGAGTGCTACATCAAGCTGTTGTAGCTCTTTGGTTGTCTTGGATGTCTTTATATCAGCATGGCTGTAATGAGCATTTCCACAAAAAGTTTTATTTATACTGTTCAGCGGAATGAGCCAACTTGTAATTATTTAATCTTTGGAATCAACTGCACACTTCTGCCTGACTCATGGCAAGTCCACTCCTATATTGCTAGTCACCAATGAAATTGCACGTTAAACTTGCACCTTCAGCAGTTTTTATCATAGATTCATTAGCTCCATACTTTAAACAAGTACCGAACAAAAGTTTAATGCATCCCTACAGTATGATGTTTCCTGTAACAAACTTGTTTTCAAAAGTTGTCTACACTTCTGTAATCTCTGAGCATTATTATTTAGTGATTCATATTAGTTCTTGACTTAGTTCCTCTCCAATTCAAACCAGTTGGCCATCGATTGTGAGTATTACAATACCTTTTCTAACCTTGCAATCTATGAATCGGCAAATCTGACTGAAGAATTCAGCAAAGCATGGGCTGCCATCGTGAGGTTTCTGAGAGGTTCCTCTCCAATATCTGTTTTCTGCATCCGCCGTTAAAAAAAAAAGTTCAGTGTTATTTTTCGCAATAAGGAAGCCATACGTTGAAATTTCACAAGGTAAACTCCACCACTGAAGTTTAGTTTACAACAAGCCCGGCGATTCAGAACACATGCAGAGGGTGTTTCACCAACAACCGAGAATAATTAAAAGACAAAATAAGTACACGAATTAGATGAAATGATTCCTGCAGAAAAGCTGAAATCCCGAGAAGCGTACATATTCGGAAAAGCTTGTGGAGCAAGCCAAAGACTGATTTTGCCACACGTCGTTTGGTTCATGGGGGAGGTAAACACATTTTAGTAAATAACACGTTAGCCTCTAGCCAACTTCCAGATTTGCTTACGCTTAGTGGGTAAGCAAATCTGGGAGCCAATCTTAACAAACAAACGCGTGAAGCTATGTTGCCTACAATAGGGAACTAAGCAGCGAAAGCAGACAGTGGCGGAGCGACCTCCTCCTGAACTCCTCTGCATTGCCTGTTGATTTCACCGGAGTTCACATTGCATGCGAGTCAAATTAGCGTGCTTGTGTTCTTTCTGTTTCCACTTTTTCTAAAAGATGAGGGTTATCCTGCCACATTGTAACTCGTCTTAAATTACATAAGTGGCGGATAAATGTTGGGAGGAAGTTGCAGTTCACGTCCAGTATCTCCAGCAGCCGAGCAGCCATGTTTGCAGCGTTTATAGAATAGAAGCCACATTTCTAAAAACAGGAAGAGAAAGTAGTATCGTAACAACTTAATTTAAACATTTTTATTATGTGAGGGAAACAAAATATAAAAACCCTAGAACGCTAATCCCCAGGGCACCACGCAGCGGTGGCCCAGCAAACGCATTGTTACATGCAACAGCAGACACGCATGTCAAGGTCGCAGACCACTTCATCGCATCGATCACTCAGTCACTCAATACACCACACCGTCCCCGAGGACATCCAACGAGCTAAAGAGGTAGCTGACAGCGTCCTGAGAAAGCCAGAGGGGACACGCGATCAGATGGTACTCGAAGTAGCCGAGCATGAAGCCTGCCAACGAGTCGCCGAGGAACTGCCTGCCCATGAGCAGCTTGGTGACGGTCACCGCCAGGCACCAGATGACGAAGGGTAGTTTAAAGAGCGGGAACAGGTGGCTGTGCTCCACCACGATCAGGGTGACCAGCACGGAGCGGGACACAAAGCCCGACGGGAAGCTCAGGTTGGACGACGACGGGTCCGACTCGTACTCCTCGCGGCTCACGCCCGGACGTCGTCTGCGAGCCACAGCCTTCAGCACGGCCACCAGGATGACGTCGATAGTCAGGGCTGGGAGAAGAAAGGCACACAAGGTTTCCCTATCTGTGCGTTCTAGTCATTTATCGTCAAGCTAAAAGGGCCATGAAACAATTTCTCTACTTTTGCAAAATACTACTCAGAATCCCTCCTTAATGTTAATACTTGAATAAATTTGCCTTTGCTTTTCTTTCTAAGCAATGGCAGTTCGCAAATAAATTTGAAAAATTTGAGCATCGTTCATCCCCTCAACTCGGAGCCAGAACAACGGCCACGCGACCTGGCGCCTATCCTGTGCCGCCAACGTTAATCCACGCGCTGGGGCCGGAAAAGCAGAAAACGCGCACTCGGCTCCAGGCGTTGTTAAAGCTCAGCTATTCCTGTCACCGCGGTGGTTAAACACAAGCCACTACCTAAGTGTCCGCCAAGGCATTGATTGTTACGAGCCGAAGTGGAGTGCTCAAGCAGTTGTATCAAACCCATGAGCCGAGCTCGACTGTCGTCAGGCAGGTAATTTCGATCCCACGTTAGTTCATCAAACTTTGCAAAGGCAGACTGAAAGAAATGGTCCCCTTTTATCCTCGAAGTTTTAACTCGACAAAGATGCTTCTGAATCGAAGACGGTCTGTGCGAGTGTACTTGGGCCAGACTAGGACCAGTACGCCTCTGCAAAGTTATGAACATTACATTCCGATCAACATGTTCTCGACACCAATGTGCGCTTCAAAACATGCAGCCAAAAGAAAGCGCAAGCTTCCAATATGCCCTGTTATTTGACGAAGAGTGCAGTAAACATAGGCGCTGGGCTCGGTAACGTTCTGGAGCAATACCGGAACGTTTCACCTGTAACACAATTGCACAGCAGTTTGCTACACAATTTTCTCATCTAAAGTTCACTAACAATCCGGGTTTTTTTTTTCGGTTTGCCCCGACCTTGATAAAAACGGTTCAAGGGTTAATTTTCGCAGTTCTTTGGTATTTACCGAAAACACAAAACCTTAATTACCTACAAGTAGCCCGGGTTACAACTCGTGACGTCACGGCGAGGTTGAATTTTGGCCGTGACGTCACGGATGGATATTATAAGAGAGTGCCACCGAAACATCTACAGTTGCAATGCCTTAGAAAAGTCTGTGGTCCATACAGTTATATCGCCTAGAACTTAGAAGCGGATGTTAGCGGCGAAGATGCCCTCCCTGCCTTGACCAGCTCTCCCGAGAAACTCAGGCAGCAGGAAGCGAACGGGACGAGAGAAACAGATGGGCTTATTCAATGCCGCGTACTGACACATCACTGCAAGGCTGCTGGATCTCGCTACTTTACCAAACTGGGCACCAAGAAGGCTTCCTTGAACATTGCCATCTACGAAGAAGCCATCCATGAAGTGGCATTTGTCACAGAAAACGGACACGTCGAGCCTCTTTGGATGCTTTTCAGTATTTGTACAGCTCCGGCCATGATGTAGAATGTTATGAACGGCGGTCTCCAGGATCTTATCGTAACCAGACGTGATTGTCTACATCAGTGGTTCTCAAATAGGGGTCCGCGGACGGAGCCTTTGGAGACCGCGAAGGCATCCTGGAGTTTGCGAAGCCTTGCCTCATCAGTCAAACCTGACAATAAAAATAGTCTTTTTTTTAGATAGAGAAGAAATTTTTCAATTTTCATTCGAGTTTTCTTGCGTGTATGTCAATAAGAGAAGTCTACTTCACACTAGCCCTTAGTTATATTCATTTCTTAAATCATAATATTTAAGCTATACCTTTCCCCTCCCCTCACCATGAATGGGGTCCTCCATCATCTCCGCCGATCCACAAGGTGTCCGCGAAACATTGATGGTTGAGAACCACTGGTCTACGTCAACAATGTGCATCTCACCAATAATGTATTGGAATACATTGAACTTCTACGCTGAACTCTGTCCTACACGACCTAGGACTATGGATTGACATCAGAAAGTATCTTTATCGCAAGTACAATTCCCTTTCCTGGCGTAATAATTTCATAAGAAAGGATTGCTTTGAGACTTCATAAGCGCACCGCGACAATTCTGGACTATGGCCCACTGCGCACAAAGAAGGACATTCAATCATTGGGCCTTGCCTCGCACTACCGTGGGCACATCAAAGACTGCTCGCGGATCGCCATCCCCAGTCATATATCTGACCAAGATGGACGCCCTTTTAACATGGTCACCAGCCTCTCAACAGGCAATAGACACGCTCAAGAAACGCTTGCCTCAGGCCTTAATTCTCGCAAACTGACCCCGACCTTCCTATGGAAGTTCATGTTGACGCGTCGTACACAGCGGCATGGCAAAGAAATTCCAATTGTGGAGTATGCAAACAAAAAGGTGCCCGAATCAGACCAGCACAAGCACTCCACAGACTCTGAAGCTATCGCTACGTACTGGGCAATTATTGATAGGCTCCATGCGTACCTCCAAGGCCTCAAACATTTTTACTCGTACACGGACAACTGGGCCGTCACCACGTCTAAAAAGAATCCGCAAAAAGTCACGCTTCGCACGGATCGTTCTCGATCTCGCCTCGTACAACTTTACGATCCACTACGCCCCGGGTGAATCCAACATCATTGTTGATGCGCTGTCCCGAGATACAGAAACACTCCGTCTACGTGCTCTAGCAAAAGGCTCAGTGACACAATCCTACATTTGACCCAATCATGCCGCAGCTAGAGCAAGAAGCCCCAGCCTTGCATGTGTCCCCGGCCCTTACCAACTCGTCGACGGCACCCTTGTACAAGACGCTTTTTTTCACGTCATCAGGGCGCAGTCACGTGACAACTAGGATCACGTGACCACTTAGCCCCTTCGTCCAGGGGAATCTGATTGTAAGCGTTGCAAAGACCTAACGTGCTGTACGCCTCCCCCTTGTTGAGAGTTGCAAAGAGGACATCAATCACAGGTAGTGGATATAGCTCTGTAATGCATCCTGCATTCACGGTTAGCTTGTAATCACCGCAAATCATGACTGACCCGTCAGGATCGCAACTGGCACAATCGAGTTGGCCCACTCTGAGTGTGCCACTGGAGACAAAACGCCGTTCTTCACTAGCCTGTTGAGCTCGTCAGAAACCTTGTCTCTCATTGCATATGAAAGAAATCTGGCCTTGAAGAACCTTGGAACAGACCCCTCCTTGACATACAGGCGAGCAGGTGGAAACTCAGACAGAGCTAGCTCAAACAGCTCTTCGTACTTGGTCAATATGTTGCGTAGATCCTTTCCTTTGCTTTGGCACTTCGAGTTTGACACACTGAGAACAGGAGTCCCCAAGTTGTTTATCGCTTGGATCTGGTCTTGGCCACACGAACACAGTCCTGGCCGGTGAAGTACAGTCATTGATGCTCCTGAGTCTTGTTGGCATAAGAAACAAGAAGCGTGAGCTTACCAGCAATAGGCATGCAGTGGACCCAACTACCAAGACAATTTCAGGGGCAACTTCTCAAGTCTTGGTCATCTATCCCTGTGCTTGTCGTAGACGTCTCAGTAAATCGCGCACGCAGCTGATCTCGTGTCGATATCCATGATGAGGTCAACTTCACCCCAACAAAACTTGCGCCGAACTGGACCGACAATCTTATTCTCTTCGGTCTGATTCTGTTTCGGGAAAAGCAGCTGCGATAAAAATGCTGTGTCGCCGTCCACCGTGGAGTTATCGGTGAGTGCAAATGTCCTCTGTTGTCACTTGCCCTTGGAGCGATAAATTTGTGCGACGTGTCCCTTCTTTTCACTCTGGAAACACTTGGCATTCTTCAACGTGCAGGCCATGTCGGACCAGTGTTCCTTGCTGCCCCACCGTTCGCACACTAGCGAATGTCCACATTTTTTCTTGCTGTGCTGCCTTGATGGTCCCAGTCGTCGCTTCCCCGCCAGCTTGTGCAATTCCGGCTCAGACTTCACATCTGAAGGCTTCATGAGCTTGACACAAGGTTCTTTGTTTCCTGCAATGCCAACTTGGGCCTAGCAAGCAGTGCATTCTGAACGTTGACATTTCGGATTATACACACTATCTTGTCTCTAAGCATGCCGTCTAACATGTCGCCGAAGTTGCATTTATTGGCCAGCTGTCGAAGTTCCATAATGAAGTGTTGAGATGACTCATCCTCGTTCTGAACCATTGTGAAAATTTTAAGCTTTCAGTCATCTTGTTTGGTTTCGGTGCATGAAATTCACTGAGAATTTCAATCGCTTGAGGGTAAGTTAACTCTCTAACTTTCCTTGGCGCGCAGTGCCCACTCAAGACATCTATTTTTCTTGAGCCCAGTGCTGAAAAAAAAAAACACTCTTTTCTTTACACTATTCACGACGTTTTGTGCAAGGGGCTAACCCTGGCACAAAACTGTGTCAGGGTTAGCCCCTTGGCACAGTTTGGCGCAATTGGCGCAGCAATCACATCACTGATTTATGTACAACTATTTACAACGAGGCAAGTTCATTGTGTCGACGCAACATCGGCAGATCGCTGAGACCATCGAGTTTGATTTGGCCCACGCGTTTGCTAACGAGGCTCTTTGTCGTCAACATTGGTGCACTCCCACGTATGCAGAAACAAGATGCTGTCTGAGATGCAGCATAGACTATCAACGATTTCAAGACCACCTCGCGGCTCATAGACCACGTGACCCAGAACGAGCAATTGGACACTGTAATACATGGCTCTCTACCTGGAATGTGTCTCGGACTGGTATATGAACTGGTATGATAAGCGCCCTCTTGGCATCAAGTGTTCCCGATAAAAAAATGGCAACAACTATGTCAAAGGAGCTGCCAGTTTGTCGCTACTCTCGCAGTCAGTTCCAGGCAGAGCATGCGAAGATAAGTGGGTATGGCTGTCATCACGGCGCCCCTGCGGCCAGTTGCAGCACGGCACGCAGGCATCTGCAGTATTGACTTGAATTGCACAATAGTGTAATTTAGCAGGATTACACTATTGTGACGTCACCAGCTGGGAACCCAGGAAACAAAAGCAAGACCCAGCTAAATGTTTCCACGTCCCTCCCTCTTCAGCCTTAACTGGGAGGAGGAGAGGAGTTGCCGGTCTCGGAAGGTTGTGCGCATGCGGTGACACAACGGGGTGCCAACTACAGCGACAGCGGGCACAGCAAGGAGTCCCTGGTGCAGAGACTGGGAATGACCATGTGATTAATGACGTAGCTGTAGCTAACGGAGTCACCGAGAGTTTTCACGGCGGACGATCACGCAATGGACTTTTTTCGGGTAACAAGCACCCGTTTGAGGTTTTTCTCTTCGAACTACAAATAGAGAGCAGCCCAAGAAGCCTCCGCCCGTCAGAACAAAGTAGCATCGTGCCGTTGCATCAGTTTTCAATGCATTTCAATGTCATGCCCCATACACCGATAGAAAAAACAAAAACGAAATACACGCAAAGTGGCGACAGCAGGATTCAAGACCAGGGGAGATGGTGTGCGCATGCGCAGAAGCCCACAGAAAAAAGGGGATCCATTTCCCATGGAAGTTTCTGTCCCGTCTGTTTGTGCTTTAAGTGTTAATCATCATGCCTTACCAACATGCCCAAGCTTCCGTGTTGAAGGTTTCTACTAATTGCTGCTGCTGTAAAAATCCATCTGTCCAACTCCGTCCTTCCACACTTTCGATTTGGCGCCCAACGTAGGGACCACTCTTCACAAAGCGAACCGGTCGCAAGACTGCGTGCGATGCTGCACTCACCTAGGAAGACGTTGAAGAGGAACGTCCTGATGGTTACGTCCATGGAGAAGAACCACAGGAGGAAGACGAGGCCGCCGAACCAGACGGCGAAGTGGGCAGACCGCTCGAGCGTGCACAGCAGTGGCCGGTACTCAGCGAGGGGGGACTTGTCGTCGGCGGCCAGAAAGAGCCTCTGGGACACTGCTTCGTCGATTCCACGAAGGGCCAGCAGCAAAGGGTTCCGCTTCCATCCGGGCGGCGGCAAGTTCTGGCGCTTGTGCTTCTCTGCCGTATCGTCCTCTTGATATTTGGACATTGTCTTCTGGAAGTATACGTCGATAATGATTGCTAAGTAAAAAAAAAAAAAAAAAAAAAAGCCGTAATGATGTTTCAAATTTTTTGGAAAAACTAAACACCTAGAGTGTTTTAGAACAATGTTCTACAACTATTATTGTCAGGACACAATATTTTATTAATTTTTATATAGTGAAAGCAGCGCGGGAACACAAGGACGTATATTGAAGAAATGCATGGGACGACCGCTGACTGTCGATCAACCGACGAATTTTATTAGGAAGATTCAGAAAAAGCGTGAAAACACCTCGTGTTTTCAAGCTGTTTTTACTATGAATTCCCAACAACTCACTCAACCGTATTTTACTAAGTATTATTTATTTATCTTTTAATTTATAGCTTGATGGGTCGTAGGATACCAGAGTTTGGGAAGATATATGTTTCGTGTAGATGGCATGCTGCTCATGTTTTGTTGCATTTTATTTTTAATTCGTGTTTTCCTTTGCTGATTACTGTTTGTTTTTCAAAAACGCGAGTTGGTGTGCTGGGGGGTACAGAAGCTAAATGGCTTGGACGAGGTCAAGCAACACCGTACAGCCTCCAGATTTTTCGAACGCCGACCGGCCGGTAGATTACCGCCTTATAGCGGAGCGAAACAGCAGGTCAGAGATACTATGCGCGTGTGGCAGATGGCCTGGCCCAACACCACCTAGAAAGAAGGCCTCCACATGGTCTCCTCTCTCTCTATGAAACGTCATTAAAATCGGATTGCGCTAACTTGGCTATTGGGCCCGAGCCTGACCTCCGACGCGCTGATTGGACACGAGCCCCAGCCTAACAACACTGACACAGCACTCATGCCTCATCTCGCGCCTCGATCGATCTGACGTGATGACGCGTGCGGAGGCCTTCCGTCTAGGTGGTGTTGCCTGGCTTCGCTGTTTTACGCTGCAATAAGGCCGCTAATCTGCCAGCCGGTCGGCGTTTGCACGATATTGTTAAAAAATCTGGAGGCTGTACAGTCGGCCACAAAAGTTTACGGACCCCAGAGCCGTGGCCAAGCTGCATTACCGCGCTGCCTTTCGGCGTGGCGCCTGTGGTCGAGACCCATAGTGTGCGCATGCGCATCCTTTGGTGCTCGCAGGCATGCCAACTCTCCCGCTTCCCGCCGACACTATCACGATTTTGACGCCGGGCACCGCTTCAATGCAGAGAGCAAGTCGTCTGCTTCTTGCGCAAGAGTTGCGGTGATGCCAGAAAGATGCCGAGCTCCAATTGGCTCTGATTGAGGGATAGTAGGTAGACCTCGAAGCAAGCTGCCTCGAGGTGAACGTTACTCGAGGTCTACCCACTGTCTCTCGTTCAAAACCAATCGGAGCTCGGCATTCTGACGTCACCACAACTTCTGCAAAAGAAGCACACCAACTTGCGGTCCACATAGCCACCGTTCGCAGCCGTGCCGCAGCTATATCTCGGTAACGCATTGAGTGGCAGAAGCCGAGACATCAACTCTACCTCCCGCCGTCTGGCATATTGCTCTTCCCAGCTCAGCGGCCAGGAAAAAAAACGATCTGCCTTTTCTTTTTTTTCTTTTTGTTCCGGAAGCATTGTAATTTTCTCAGCACTTGCTGCCTTGTCAACCAATCAGTGACCACAATTAATCCAGAAAGCGTAATTGTATATATGGCACATGTTATTAAATCAAATATTAAAATAACTTAAAAGCTTTTGAAGCAAAAACAAAAAAAAAAGAAAGATGTTTACAATCCCCTGTATTGCCGAATTAGAGCGCAGCTCTTGAAGAGGAGGAGGTATGAAGAGGAGGGTATGCCCCTCTCCTGCTCGCCTCCCGTTAGCGGGAAATTTTCGCTAAATTTCCTGCTAAACTTTGCGCAAAATTTAGCGGGGAATTTTTTCCGCCAAACTTAGCGGGGAAATTTTTCCGCCAAATATAGCGGAGAAATTTTCCTGCTGAATTTGGGGGGAATTTTTTCCTCCACATTTAGCGGGGAAATTTATCTGCTAAATTTAGCGTGGAATTTTTTTTGCTAAATTTAGCGGGAAACTTTTTTCGCTAAGTTTAGCGGGAAACTTTTTTCGCTAAGTTTAGCGGGGAATTTTTTCCGCTACATTTAGCGGGAAAATTTACCCAAAACGCAAAGCGCAGTGATGTCACGAGTGACGTCACTGGTGACCCTCGTGACGTCACGTGTGACATCATCATGGAAAACGTCCCACAACGTACCAAGCGGTTACTTCAACGCCGCTCAAGCCGGAAACGGGTGCCTAAGAGCTGCGCTCTAAAACAGAATAACCGTCTTCCTGGCCGTTGAGCATGGGAAAAACAATTCCATGGCGGAGAGCGAGAGTTGATATTGCAGCTTCTGCCAGTCATCATGCCACCGAGATACAGTTGCAACAGGAAAAAATTAACACGTTCCATGTCTCAACGGGGGGGGGTGGCCGGCAGTAAATTGAGGAATAAAATAACCTTTGAAATGCAGGGGATGGGCTGCTTTCTGCCGGCCACCCCCGCGTTGAGACATGGAACGTGACTGGCACTCTCGCTATCGGCGCTCTCGGGAACACTAGCGCCGCAAGTCGCGATTTTGCCGCTCCGGTGGTCGGTCACTTGTGCTAATCTTTTTCCGTTGCAGCTGTACATCTGTGGCACGGCGATCAGGCATCTACCGAAGCGTTGCCTGGCGTGTCGGCCGGAAGGGGTGAGAGTTGACAAGCACATACTAAACGACCTAAAAGACTCGCATGAGCGCATTGCGGGTCTCGACAGCAGGCCTTAAAGGGGCCCTGCAAGGACGTTTTTACTGGTTTTTAATTTGCACCGAACCTGAGTGTACTGGACGTAGTAACTTACTGAAAATTTTCTTGAATTTCGCATTATTTTAAAAGTTATAGGTAAGGTTCGGAGTTTTCGGTTTAAACCGATAAAAGTACGCTGAATTCATTTTTGTAAATTCGGTTTTAACCGAAAAAGGTCAGCTTTTAGGTTCGGCATTTTCGATTCAAACTAATAAAAACCGATAAAAGTATGTCGAATCCATTTTATAAAATTCAGTTTTAACCGGAAAAGGTCACTTTGACCTTCCAGTCGTACCGCAGAGCCTTGGCGAAAAAGTGGAGCGACAGTGTCTGTCGAAACGTGTCCGAATGTATGGGAGGATACACTGATGCCATCACGACATTTTGGTTAAAGGGCAACTCCGCTCAATTCCGGAGATTTCGGGATAATGATTGATTTCGAATTAAAAAGCCCTAGTAAAACACACTACGTCGTTTGCTTCGCGAAAAATGGGATATATATTTTTAAATCTGATTTTAAACATGAGCGGAAATCGAAACCGAAACTTCAGCTCCGCCTGGCAACATTGGCCTCGGGTCGCCAAGTACATGGCCATCACGTGGTACGAGATGTCACGTGATCCTCGGCCCAACGACGGGCGGGATTGGGGTGGGCGTGTGGCAGGCGCGAGTGTCTGCAGCGCACTCTTCGCCACGTTTTGGTGTCTACGGCATAAGTGTGCGCGCACGTGGTGTCCGTAGTGTGGACGAAACTCCAAGAGACAATAATCACAATCGGTGAGACGACGACGGCGGTTGTGACGCGGAAGACGGCGGGACCACGGCGGGCAGCTGGACGGCTCGCAAGAAACACGCTGCGCAGGCGCGTTACGCCAATCACGTGGACATTACTGAGCGCCGAGAGGCAACGTTGCTGACGTCATGCGCTACGCTCGCCCGGAGAAGTGAAAACAAGCAAAAGGGGGCCATGTAGATGGCGTTTAGCTCAATGTTGGCTCCGCCCATGCCGTAGCCTTGGCTGCGCTGTTGGTTGCGCCTGAATTCGCCCGCTCAAGTCAGCCGATTTCGGCAACTTGGCGAGTTGCAAAGTTTGCCGAACCGTTTAAGAAACATTTAGACAGAACTGCGCCGTAAGATTTCACGTGTGGTCTTCCTAGGCGATACTGAAGAGGACTGCATTGTTTTTTCAAAACCAAAAATGAAGCGGAGTTGCCCTTTAAATGCGCGCATCATCGTTTGGAACGTGAAGTCCGAAATGCCCCATGACTTTGCCATGTATGAGCGTGTGTTAAAGCTCGTTGTGAGGAAGACTGACTTGATGCAAGCTCTGCATGTTGTGTTATGCTTCAAAACATCGCACCGTGTCTCTTTTAACAGTCACAAATGGTTGATTGGCCTATTTCGGCTCAGGCAGTGCTTCATCTCCTCAGCCCGCCACTGTTCAGTGTTAGCGTTGAGTGGGCATTCTCGAAGCTCAGGGTCATATTAACATGTAAGAAAGAGTGTGGATCAACGAGGAGAACCTGAAAAAGTACAAGTGCGTATACTATAATAAGATCACGTAATCTTGATGTACGGAAGGTGAAGTTCCATATTTTTTCGGCATAGGCTTCGTATCTGACTTGTTTGTACTTCTGTGTCTTCTTCTTGTTCCTTTTACAGTTGCACACATTTGCCAAATAAAGTGTCCATTTATTTTTCAATGTATTTGTGCCATTAGTCTTTGAGTGATAACAAATATCAGAGCTACAAGGATCATCTGATCCGGTGATGTTTATTTTATTTTCACCGAAAAAAGCCGATAAACTATTGCGGGCGTAAATATATGTAAAAAAAAAAAACGATAATTGATTTGAACGTCGAAAAAAGTACTCCAAATTTTGAAAAAGTAGAAACCGAAAACGTGGAACCCTAGTTATAGGCAAACTAAAATTACAAAAAACAAGCAAAAAATAACCTCCTTCATGACGTCCTCGGTCGCTTGAGTGGCCGTGAACTAGGAGAGGTAGTGAGCTCAGCGAGCGCTCACGGCCGCTGCACTCAGTGTCGACGGCTCGAGGGGGCGCCACTAAAGCATGTTCTGGATAGGCTGTATGAAGCGGGCAGCCAGGGCGGCTCGCATTGCATTTGCTGTGCGATTAAACACTAATTCGGCATGACACTTCATTGGCCACATATGACAGCAAACACGGGGTAAAGATCAGTTCAGAATGGGAGCCACTTCACGCTGCCATACCGCCAAAGGGCCAAACTGCAAGCCAAAGCTGCTTGCCGAAGGCCTTCGGAACCGGTTGGATCCTTGACTGCAGCACCGCCGCGAACATCCGGGACTTTTCTACGCTCGCCACTCGTCGGTGCCTGATCCCACTATACCTTTCTAGTATGTGCCGCCTTTTCCACCGCTTGGTGGCGGGTATGTCAACGGGTCATTTCTTGTTTCCGTACTTGTTTCTTTTCTGATCTAAAATACTGAACAAAAACTACTTTTATAGATAATTGAAACGGCTCACACCACTTATATTTTGTATTTCGACTAAAAACAAGCTTTTAAGGGCTCTGACCAGTAGAAATACCAGGACCTAAAACGTCACAATGTTGTCACATATTGCGCGCTTTCGACACCGCCGGTCGCCCCTGTAGGTGGAGGAGATTTTTGCGTCATCCGGTTAAAATATGACGCACTGATATTCAGTCACTCTCTCCATGCCCGCTGGCTTGCCCGAAACCCAAGAGACGTGGAAACCGCAAAAAAGGTAGATGCTTGAATATTATTGCAGGGCCCCTTTCAGGAAGCACCGGACCACTGGGGTCCAGCTGCCCCGGTGCCTGGCCTGTCCGGTGAGCTTCCTGGGTATGGCCCCCTGGAGCGTTTTCTCCAAGGAGGCATTGTGTGTACCAAGAACACAAGTAATGCAGTTCGACCCCGGCTCGCACGGTCTGTCAACCTTTGTTGCCAACTGTAGTGCCTCCTCCCCCCACAAAGCACTCCATTCTTTCCACTTTAGCAGAGCGAATGCTGGAAAGGAGGAGGAGAGCCCCTCAGCGCCTCCTTCCAGCATTCGCTCTGCTAAAGTGGAAAGAGTTTGAGGGCTTTGCGGGGAGGAAAGAACAGCATTTTTCTCACCGCAAAAATAATTAACGACGCATCGCCACCAAATGCAGCGCTAGCGGTTGGGACCAATTTACTGTTATCCGATTCAAAAGTTTAAACAATTTATCGGAAAATTTAAACGGGGGAATGGTGCCCGTCATTTTCTCACGGGGCATATTCGAAAATCGCTTATAACTTTTGAATTAAATAACGAAAACCTCAAACTATGGCGTCTGGTCCCAACCGCCAACGCTACGTTTTGTCAAAACCAAAAGTTCAACTTTTTTTAATATTATTATTATTATTACACGGCACATGCGATGTATTACCGTACAAGTTACCACCCCCTCTCGCAACCGACTGAAATTCAGAGCAAACAAACGCCGCGATAGTCATCCTACCTGCGAGGTGTTTTTTATCTCCTACCTTCTGCTCCAGCGGAGCAAAATACAATAAAAGTGAATCCTGCACGAACCGGCCAACTGTTGCTCGAGCCTCGAAAACTTTTGTTTAGCGTGGACGACTGTTCATGCTCGCGTGACATATAGAACGCGGTTGTTCTTTAAATGCATAACCGAAACAACTACAATCTTGGGTGAAAAGAAACGCGCCGAATTAAATGCAGACGACATCGGCTTCCATAATCTTTAAAACTACATGCCGACTGTCATAGCGCTGTTTAGCGTCGCGCTGCGAATAATTTGGAAGTTGTAAAAGAGAAAAAGGGGCGGTTTAAATTGTAACACTCACCTCGCTTTATCCTGCCACGCCGATCTCAGTCGTGTACGCCGTCTGTGCCGTCTGCTTATCACGTCGTCAAATAGAACTACTAGACAAGAGAACTCGTAAATTGTTAGGGTACGGCGAATTCTCCGCCACCCGAAAGGCACAGATGGCAAGGCAAAGATTAGAAGCAAAAAAAGTACGTGCTACGCATGCGCAGATTAACGTCGTCCGCAGATGGCGGCACAACAAAGAAGCGACGCTGGATGGAAACGTGACGATGCTTGCTCGGCTCTGGCTTGTCTAGTCTTTCAGTTACAGTTTCGGTTTCGCTGTGCAAATCTACTAAACATCTGCGCATAGTAAAATTAACCTTTATTTACTGATTTAACACACGGTTATATTACCACCCACTTTTAATATATATTTATCTACCTACCGGGTTTGATCAAGAAAATGAAAACCAGCTTTTCGGCCCGCATAAGTACGCATCACAGAGAGCTGAAACTCCGTGAGAATGTGACGCTAACAAATGCGAAAGTTCGACCACATGACGTTACCAAAATTAAAAGATGCAAAAGAAAAATAAATCTTTATGAGCCGACGTCCACATTCATCAACATTATTGTCATTAAGACTAAAATGATGCCCCCCCCCCCCCCCTTTTTTTTCTTCTTCTTCAGTGAATTGAATGCTACAGGCGCCCACAATCAGTTTAGTTTGATGAATATTAGGCTTAGGTAAAGGTAAACTCACAAACTTTTTTTTTATCTAGCTTGCGTCACATGCAGTGGCGTCACAAGGGGGGCGGACCACCCTGGGTCATAGAGATCATACGTACTAACTCTTAATGAAAAAACGGTTAAAGTACAGGCGAGCTGGTGGATATTTACCATGATGGAACTTAACCCGAGACTGGGGTAGAACCAGAAACTTAAAAGTAGAAGGGACAGAGACAAGTGAAGAAGAGAATGTCTCAAACGCAGCTAAAAGATTTATTTAGTCCCACATCCTTATACACTCACAACCACAAGGTCACCCAAACACTCAACATGCCCCTTTCAAAAACACAACACACAGGAGAAAAAAATAAAAAAAATAATGAGGGGGCGTTTCTTTGCATTGTTGTCTTTGGATTTTTTTTTTTTTCTCCTGGTGTGTTGTGTCTTTGAAAGGGGCATGTTGAGTGTTTGGGTGTCCTTGTGGTTGTGAGTATATAAGGATATGGGACTAAATAAATCTTTTAGCTGCGTTTGAGACATTCTCTTCTTCACTTGTCTCTGTCCCTTCTACTTTTAAGTTTCTGGTTCTACCCCAGTCTCGGGTTAAGTTCCATCATACTAACTCTAGAGGAAAAGGTCCGCCATTTTCCCATACATTCTGGCTGCCGCAAGCGGCGGAGCATGCAGGCGGACCCTCGGGGTCCCAAACACGGTTACATCATCAGAGCAGTTTCGTGAACTTCAACAATCCACAAACTTACCGGTGGATATTCGCGTTCCTTTCGAAGCTTTCTTTTTGCATAGCGCGCAGATGTACGCAGGGGCGGATGCAGGAATTTCCTGAGGGGGGGGGGGGTCAGCTGTTGGTCAGCGTACCCAATGTTCAGGAACTCCCTCCCCCTCTCTCGTTTCACGCCCTAAATTTTACACATGCAGAAATCAAGAGGGGGGTCAAGACATCCGGACCCCCCTTCTAAATCCGCCCCTGGATGTACGGCCTCGCGTTAACGCTAAACTAAACCATATACCCGGCTTCGCCGGTGGGGCGCGGGTGGGAATACGAAACTGCGCCACCACCAGATTTCCGAGATTTCGACAGAAGGGAAGTTAATGCAGCGTAATGAGTATGCTGCTTTTTATAAACCTTAAAATAGCTTAGAATTTAGTTTGCAACGTTAAATTATCAGTTTATATTGCTGAGAGTTTTCACTCTTCGCGTTTACCAATGCGACTGCCGTCCTTCAGCTGGCAATGTTGCTTTCTTTCTCTCGTGCTCTGTCGCTGTCTTTTGCGATCTTTCACTCGGGATCCCGGGTGTCGGCGCACGGGATTTGCCACTCCTCCTCACCCACCTTTACCCCCCTGCCCTGGGTGCAGCGCTCAGGGGGGTGTCGCGGCGGGCTGCCGCCCCGGGTGCCGCTGACCCTCGTGACGCCACTGGTCACATGTTCAAACTTTCATATTTTTATCACCTCCAATAGCATACGCTGAGTAGATCACCTTCCACTCTTTTGAAGAAGGAACACCAGCGGAGCTGTACTCAATACACTGCGTGCTTCTTCTTCGTCGTCGTCTGTTTTTCGCACTGTTCCCTACGATGAATTCCCACCAACATTACTCCCACCAACCCGCCCAACTATCCATTGTTCTATTTAGGGGTGTCGCGAACTTTTGTCGAACCGGATTTTTAGGTCGAACTTTCGGGGTTCGACGAACCTTCGAAACTTTTCACCAGATTCGACCGGTTCGACTTTGCGGACAGTGTGGCCAGACCTCGATAAACGCATGTCTAAGTTTGGAGAATTTATTTTTATGCAAAGGGTTATTTTATTTTATGAACAGTTGGAATTAAAAGAAACCATTTCTAATCACTGAAGACGTTAATAACTTAATTTTTTTGTACTGTATTAACTGAAATAACCAATCAGCGGTGCCCTCAATTCATCCCTTAGCTATTACCATCCAATTCGAAGCCAACTGGCCAACCTGTCGCGCATGCGCACACGAGTCGAACAAGGTTCGTCGAAATTTCCACGAAAAGTTCGAAAAAGTCGAACCTGGTCGAACTCGAACCTCGGCCAGTTCGCGACACCCCTACTTCTATTATAGCTGGAAAGGTTGCCGCCATCTACGAGCGACGGCGGAAACCATACTAGTTGTGTGCTTGCCGCCGTCGCTTATAGATGGCGGTAGCTGTCCAGGTAGGTTTGTGTCGACGTACTTGGACATGATCCTGGGGAACCTGGCCCTTAACGGCTCGGCTGTAAAAACTAAGTTATTAACTTCTTCAGTGATTAGAATTGGTTTCTTATAATTGTAACTGTTCATAAAATAAAATAACCCTTTGCATAAAAAAGAATTCTCCAAACCTAGACATGCTTGTATCAATGTCTGGCCACACTGTCCACAAAGTCGAATCTGCTGAAAAGTTTGCAGGTTCGATCCAGTCGAACCCCGAAAGTTCGACCTAACAATCCGGTTCAACAAAATTTTGCGACACCCCTACAGATAACCTTAGGGAGAGGCGCAGCGACGCGTGGAGTAGTCACATGATACGCCGACGGAGTTTGGTAGGCTAGAATGGCTCGTAACGTCCGGTGCGGTCCATCGTAAGGTAGCTATTTCCAGATTTTGAATGCCAATGTACACCTAATTAAACCAATCATTTTAAATACTTTCCAGTAGGGCGTCAGAGGCGCGCGAAAACGCGCAAGCAACTACACAAATTGCACAATGTGACTGCTATTGCTATGTGGTAAAGAAAGCCTAGCTGTTTCTCCAAACTTTTTTTTTTTTTTTTAATTTCCTAGATAATTGGGTTTTTAAAATGTTTTCATCACCTAACTTCAACAATTTCTCAATAGCACAGTTGAGAAAAGGTGAAATATTCTGGAACAAAAATAGAAACAGGGAAGTATTTTCAGCAGGGACTAATGATTTTGACAAGATCATTAGAAACGGCATAAATGATTTTATGCTGTTTCTGCCTGGCAGATCAACACCAACATTAATTCACCGCTCTGCACACCTCAGCAACACTGACAGTGATCAGGTTACATATTAATAGACAAAGAGTGTGTTGGTGCAGGCCAAGATTGAAGAAAGAATAAAGATGTAGAATGAAGACAACACAACCACATCTTTCAGAAAGGTTTGGTTGTGTTGTCTTTGTCCTACATGTTTATTCTTTCCTCAATCTTGATCAGGTTCAAGCAGCCTCCCATTGTTCAAATTCAACACTCCGACCACTTCACAGCCATGTAGGCAATAATGTTAGCATAACAAGGAGCACAATAGTGTGACAATTCACCCGTGCCACTCAGGTTTCCACAAACCAAGCCAGCATGGGTTAGCAGCTGCGTAACCTGGTGTCTCCTCGTTACAATTTCTAACGGACATGACACTCTGCAAAAGAGAGCCAAGTTGTATTCTTGATTACATGTTGGAACCATTTCCCTCATCATCACCAACTGCAGCAGCAGGTTGTTCATCAATATCAGTCATTATCACACATTTCTCTTTGTTTGTGTTTTGAAGTAAAAAAGCATCCTGGTTTAGAACACAATTGGCCAGCATGATCACTTTTCTGCGGTGCCACCGAAAGCACCACATTTTGGCGACGAGGATGGGATCATGAAAGGACGAGGATGGGATCATGAAAGAGTGACCATGCCAGCCAATGTCCCAAACCAGAACCATATTTATGGCGTCCGGCATGCGCCACCGGGCGCATATTTGTTCCACCGTTTGATCATGTTACCAGCATAAAACTTCGTCCTTCTTGTAACACGAATTGAGACTCGCAACTTCAAATGAACCAGGCGGTCAAACCTCGACCTCGTTAATCCCACCGTGAAGGCTGTCAAATGTTGTAAAGTAGGACGCAAAGGCCAGGGCAGTCTCTGTGTTCATCCAGAAGATGCCTGTGATGACGTAGTACTCGATTAGTCCTAGGATGGCGCCACCGCACACATCTCCAACGTAATGCCTCCCAAGGAGCACCCGTGAAGCCGCCAACGCAAGGCACCAGATGAGGAAGACGAATTTAAAGAGCCCAAAGAGCGAGGTGAGGTAAAGCACAATGCAGGATAGAAGAACAACGCGGGACACGTGACCCGAAGGAAAGGAGTGCATGTCCATCAACACTGTGACGAACATGTCGTTTTTGTTCGCAGGGGGACGTTTGCGCCGGGCGATGGCCTTGATGCAGCCGACGGCGATGAGATCCAGTATAAGGGCTGGAAGGAAGGAAGAGGAAGCAAAATTTTACTAATCATAAAATATGCTTGTCAAAAAAAGGGTACATATCCCAAGTTATGGTGAAATTGCAGTGACTACAAGCGTAACTTGTTACATTCGTGTAAAAAATCAGGCCAACAATATATATAATTCTCTATTGGTTTCGTATCGGCCTAGGTAAGCGTCGTTGTCAGTGCCCCGTGCTCAGTTGTAAGCAGAGTGTTTATGAAAGCGGAAAAGTGCAAAACTGACGTATTGGAAAGTGAGCTGCTAGTTGGCGACTGCAGCATACCACAACATTATAGAACACTTTACAAAGAACTGGAAGGTAGCCTGGTTGTTTCTACATTTAAAATTCGTGAAATCTATGTATATGCTTCTAAAGAAGGCCTTCCACTGCTTTTAATTTTGTTCTGAGCTAGTATCTTGCTGTAGATGCCATACAAGGATGCGGAAAGCATTTTAAGATTGCCATGTATTACACTTGACATGTGGCGCAGTACAATATCCCAATATGCCTCTCACTTTCAGCTAGACACGAATCTTCAAAACCTGCATTTACCAATTCAAAGCCGCCGCAAAACCCAAAACCATTGAATTTTTGAGTCCTTGCACGATCAAGTTTTCGACTCCACAATCAACACTTGCTTTAAAACCATCTTATCATTCTTTTAGGGAGGATGAAAAAGTTCTAGGAAGGAAACAACCAGGGTGAGAATGTTCATAAAATTTCAGCACCATTCTCCATAATTGTGTCTGAGAAGCACATAATTATATGTTTGAATAAAACAAATATTAATTTCCTATTGCATCAGAGGCTAGTCCAAACTCAAGAGTTGAATGGGGGTGAAAAGTGTGAATAAGGGCAAAAATAAAAAATAATACTAAAACTAAGCAGCTATGTGTAATGATTAATAATCTGTTCAACAAAAACAAAAAGAGTACACAACCAGAGTAGCTTTCAAAGATCTAGGTTATCTGTAGCAGAATTATAGGCAGCACAGTCATTAGTTTACAAAAAAGAAAGAAAGTGGATGAAGACAATTGTGAGGCATTGGTGGTAGCAGCATCAACCACCACTGCACCCCAGAGGCGATGCAATTCCCTCACCCAAGAGCAGGTTGACATAGAATGCCTCAGAGTCTCTGTCACTGACGAACCAGATGAGGGAGCATGTGCCCATGAGCCAAGGGATGCCGTGAGCAGAGTACTCCAGAAGCATCAAGGAGGGCCGCAGGTGGCCCCAGGGGGAGTGTGCCGCAGAGGCCAGGAACAGCCGTGAGGAGACCCTCTCGTCGAGGTCCTTCAGGCAGAGCAGAGTAGGGTGGCTCTTCCAGCCGGGGGGAGGTCCAGAAGGCTGTGCCATGTGGCTACTCCTTCGGCAACCAGGTTCTGAAGTATCGTTACACACATAGTCCATAAGGCACACTGAGTGCGACACGGCTAGGATGAAGAAGGAACAGGCGGTTTTTCAATTTCTCTCTTGCATACAAAAATGCTGTCATCAAAAAACTAGTGGTGTGGTGAAATGTCCTCATCCTGAGAAGTATCCCAAGCAGAAACATTTTATGCTCGTAAATCTGAGAAAAACACTAGAAAGCACCAATGTCATGCCCATGGTAACTGTGCTGACAGGCCATTGGACAGCTGCCCCAAGTTAATTTATGTGTCACCCTCAATCTAGTGTCAAGCTCAGACAAAATTAATGCTAGGGTCATGCACAGAGTTGAACTTTACGTGATCACGACTAAGCTGCTGCATGCAAGAACAGGACAAGTGTAGGACTGACGTATATCAAGAAAAGTTGAATGAGTGTTTTGCAGTACTTTGGGTAGAATGGTAATTTAGAAAAGGGGGGAGAGGGGCGGGGGAGGGGCCTATGGTTTTGATCATGAATTAACGAGATACAAGTTGAAAGCCTGTGTTGTCTGTTTGCCCTCAATGTCCCTCTTCGTTGTTGTAAACCTGGGGCCCTATGTTGCACGTTTTGGACTCCCACTAGGGTGGCTAGCCACCATGCTCCCACGGCGACTATGGAGAAGGAAGTGACGTCAACAACGCAGCAAATGCAGATTGGATGTTGATTGATGAGATTAGTCAACATCCAATCTGCATTTGCTGCGTTGTTGACGTCACTTCCTTCTCCGTAGTCGCCGTGGAAGTCCAAAACGTGCAACATAGGGCTATGATTATAGTGCAATTAAAATGCAAAGGTGCAAGCGAGCTGGACAAGAATGAAGAAAATCAACATAGGGCCCCTGGGATAGGATACGGCAAAGCATGGCGCATCAAAGAACCGTGTAGTATGTAGAATTGACATCTCGAAAAAGATGAGAGAGAGTTTAAAAAAAATTTGGGTGGAATTATAATTTGTGAAAAAGGTGAAAGGATATGCAATTTATAGTGAAAACGAGACCCATGGTGGTGTCGGGCACAGCAAAGCAACCACTTACGCTCGGAGTTTCAGGAGGGCCTGAATAAACATGTAGGTACTAAGATACGGCGTTTGCATCCAAACAAATTAACTAAGGTTGGAGTATGCTGGGTGCAAATCAAGCAGTCTGGTTTTTCGCAACCTGTCAAGGCTCATTTGTGGACTTCTACCGCTACGACTCGAAATATGTTTTGGGTAGCACCGCCGATCGCGACCTAAGAATAGTTCGCTACAAACAAAATATGCCTGGCGAAACCTGGAGCAAACGAACATAGGAATGACTCCATAACATTGGATGGTGTTTATATTTAGGATAGCTGCGATTTCAAAATCTACGGACAAGCTGTGAAGAACGCTGGCGACACTCAGGAGTACCGATTCCGGTCTCGAACAATAGTAATGTGGGGGATCGGCGGGTTGCTAGACATACAAAGTCGACATGGTAAATTGAAGCTTCTGATTAATAATTATACGTTTAAACTCTAAACATTAGCTGTCGGAAACTGTGGCAAGGTTAACGCATACGGAACGGAAGACTAAAACATGAACTCACCCAAGAAAATTTAAAAATCAAAAAGAGACGTCACAACGTTGCCAACCGCACATCTGGGTATGTCCTGATCTCGTCCATTTAAAGTGGACTAGTTTCCTTTTAACTAACCTAAAATTTGTCTTAACAAGCTATTGTTTAAACTTGTGACATAATTTAAGATAATAAATACAACCTAATATGTTATTATTACCAAATATGAGGGTTACCGGTGGCGGGGCTGATTTCAGCCGATTTAACGCGCGCTTTTCATGTCAACACCTCAACACTAGCGGGCTAGCGGTCACTTCAATTTTTACCCAGACAAAACTTAATTTAACTTTCCTTTATTGGAGTTTTCTCTACATTTCCTTGAATTCTGCGTTCCTGGCTTCACCATGAAGCGTATCACCGCGTTTTAACTAACGAATCTCGCCCGCAGAAGCCAACACATTGAGAGATGGACGACGACTTTTACGACGAGTACGAAGACCTCTACGCCGACGAGCTCGAGTTGGCGGACGAGCTACATTGTGAGTTGCCGCCCACGTTTACTAGTATTAAATACTGCATAGTCTGTCTTGTTATGTACATTTAGATTCGACGTTAGCATGAACGCGCGATCGCCAGTTTCTTTTCGTATACTGCTGACAGCCCGGCTGGTTTCAAATTGACCAGTGTGGAGTTGGTACACCCAGTACACCCCACACGGGTGGTGCGCGAAAGCATTCGATGTCAGAAGACCCGTGTCAAATGCCCCGCGGCAAACGCCCTGACCTTTTTGCCCCGCTTTCAAAAGCCCCAGTTTCCGAAGCCCATGACGCGAATTCCCCGTGTCGAGTGGCCTGGTCCTAAGCGCGAGGGCGGAGCATTCTTTAACTAAGAGACGGGAAATATGCATGCGAGTTTGTGTAACATAATCATGCCGTACCCGGGACTCAAAGAGCAACTGGATAGAGCTTCTCGTTCTTCAGGCCTACGCTATACACATTCACGTCTTGTGGCGTTACAAGTGAGAACAAACAGAAAACATCAGTCACTGGCAAGACATTTCAAGTTAGTCTTTATGAATATCCATTGAACCAAACCTTTCGTCGACTCTGAAGCACGCGCGGATTCACAGTTCTGGCGAAGTGGGTTCTGTCAAAACTGTTCACATGCAGTTTGTGGCACCATACTTACTACTATACAGCACCAAACACTAGTTCTATTCTTCCTTGACAAACAAAAATATTTTTATCCATCTACATAGATAAACTCTATATTTCTATGTCTGAGTATACCTTTAGGACAGAAGAGTGTATCGCTGGTTATGCAGACTTATGCAATTGGCCATACAGATCCCCAGGTGGCGGGTTCGAATCCCGACCGAGGTGCCCACAATATGACGGAGGCTTATTGCGGAGAAGGCACCATTTAACCAAGCTTTCGGTTGCACGTCAAAAGATCCCCAGGTGGTCGAAATTAATCCCCAGTCCTCCGCTGGGGCGTGCCAGATGCCCGTCGTAGGTTCGGCACGTAAAACCCCCAAATTTGACTTTTGGCAATTGGCCATCGTAATTTGTATGTCATTCTAAGTTTCTCTGTGGTTCAAGTTAACCTTATTTTGTAGTTTCTTAACTTAAAAGACCCTTTGTAGACTCTCTACGCATTAGGTTAAGACATAGAACAATGCTGGTAGAAGCGCAAAGAGGGTGGCAGTGAGGGCGGGGCTTTTGGCACAAGAGAAATACGGGACGGGGTAATTGAACGCGGGGTTTTAGAAACATGGGGCTAATGACGTGCGGCTTTTGCGGCAGGGATTTTGCACGTGGGATAATTGTGCTACACCCCTCCTCATGGGCCATTATCTTGCATGTGACTCCATCGCGTCATGCTGGTGGTCAGTCCTACTTGTTCTTGTCGAGTAAAATGAATTTGGTGGTGCTAAATGCTTACTGCAGAAGGCAAGCGCTTAGCAGCAAGGCCGTCACATGACAGTTGATGTGACGTGAGTGCATAAAATTTGATCACTCACACTAACGTGCATGAGTAAAGTGCAGGAAAAGAGTAATGCTGGATAACAGAAAGAATGAAAGAGAGGACAAAGCACCGCTGCACCAACAAACATGAAAAGCAGTTTTTTTTTCCTGCCGGAGAGAGGGAATCTATTCCATCCCTTTCTCTTGTGAAGGAGAATATATCGGGCTAACAGGCTGGAGCCTAAATGACCCCCTCCGATAGCACTTCCGAGAGGTCGCTGATCCCAGCAAGAGTTCGGTACACCTGATAGCAGCACATGCGGAGGATGTGCGCCTAGGTTCAGGAAAACGCGCATCCTTGGGTGCCATCCTCAGAGATTTGGGAGGGAAGTAATTGAATCATTTGCAATAAAAAAACTCCGGCATCAATGTCTTTTCCCCCTCACTAGCCCTCTCCGATAGAGAGATGGATCTTGTGTGCCTAGAGCTTTCCGGGGTGACTAGATGACCTTGGTGAGCGGCCCGTCCCCAACAAGTCGACACACCCCTCAGCCCTTTCCACCCGTCCTTCCTTCTTCTGACTTCCCCCCTCTGCCTCTGTCTTTCCCCCTTTCCCTAGGAATGCGAGGGGGAAGGGACGATCGCTCTTCATGGAATAGACTTTGTTGCGAGTGTAAAGAATGTACTATCAAGGAAAAATGAAATGCGAACAGAGGAGCGCGTGGCTCGCGGTACAGGCTGCGCCGCCTGGAAGTGAGCCTAGGGGCGAGGGTGCGTGGTCTACTCCGACGTGTTCACGCCCCTCCCTCTGCACTCCCCAAGCTTCAGCAGCGCGCCTCTTAGTGCGCTGAAAGCTCTCACCGCCATCTTTGCTGGCTCAGCGCGTGCGGTGCAAAGAAGCTCGTTGCACTCGCCGAGCGCCGAGCAGGCAAAGATAGTGGTGACAGCTTTCAGTGCACTGAGAGGCGCACTGCCGAAGCTGGGGGAGCGCCAATCGAGGGGCGTGAACACATCGAAGTAGGCCACGCACCCTCGCCCCTAGGCTCACTTCCAGGCGGCGCAGCCTGTACCGCGAGCCACGCGCTCCTCTGTTCGCATTTCATTTTTCCCCGATAGTACTCGTCTGTGTTTCATCCTTTTTATGTTTTATTCTTTCTGTTATCTACTATACTTTAACAACACGCTCAGGAATATAGACTAAGGCTGATTTCGTGTTCACGCAAGTCACGTACCCAGCATTGTAAATCCGAGGCTCCGTCTGAAGGTACCCCTTGATGTGGAATTTTATCGAGGGACTTTTATACGTCACAATGGCCGAAGAGCCAACACCGTTCAACACGCAAGTATAAAATTATGCACAGTGATGGTGTAGTGGAATTCGCATCAATCGTAGGTTTGCAACTTTGATGCATATTCTGTGTCTGCCATAGTGCAGGATGGAAACCATAAAACTAATGTACCTGTACTGTTTTTTTTGTTTGGTTTGTTTTTCCACCAGCGCATGAGCCAGCTTTGCCGACGGAGCGGGTGTTGTTAGGGCGAGACGATGGCCTGGACTCCGATACTCCACGCACGACGACAACCATTTCAGCAAAGAGAATGTCTGATCAGCTCGTTGACGACTGTCCTCCACGAACACCCACACCCTCCCTCCGTAAGTTATTTCAAGTCCATATAAATTTTTTTTCTTCTATCCTGTGGGGCTTAGAAGTGAAGAAATCTACCTATATCTCTTCTGCCTTTATATAGGCATCTGAGATGAGCTATTTATTTTTTACTTTTTCATAACGCACATATCAGGTGCAAAAAGCAATGTTATTTTTTCATATTGCAACTGAATTTTCGAAGAACATGGAATTTCTGCTATTAAAAAAACTTTGCCATTTGGACTTTTTCTATATTGACATTTTAGATTCAGATTAATTTTCAGCCTTTGTCAACTTAAACATTGTCAAAGCTGTTGGCACGAGCACATGGCTTCATCTAGCACCTCATCTGTACGAGAACACATGCAAATGAACCGCATGACCATGCCACACCCTCACGTCAGAGGCTTTGACAGTGTTGTGCATTGAGTATGAAATTGAGCCTATAGAATAGAGAAAGGTAAAATATAATAATTAGCCAAAGTCACAGCCGGAAAGTAATAGTGTACAAAAAAAACAACATAAACCACGGTGGTACAGCTATGATTCTGCGTTTTCGGTTTAAACAAATAAAAACCGACCAAATTAATTTTTCCGAATTCGATTTTAACTGTGAATGTTGCACAGCCGAGAGACGTTTTTGTGTTTGTGTTTAGGGGGGAGGAGGGGGAAAGCCTCATTGTGTTACTTTGTGATGCACTTCCTCTTAGAGTTGTCACTTATCTTCTGGATTCTTTTGCTTCAAACAACAATCTTTTTGGGGGTGAAATGTTTGTTCTCTGTTGTAATTGGGCCTTATGTGCCAAGTTCCCAGTCCTTTAGAGACGGGGTTTGGATTGTTTTCACTGTCCGGAAATGTGCCACAACTTCTCAAGGTACGGGGGAATTTTCGAAGTTTCTGTCAGAGCCAATAACAAGGTTCATGTATTGCAACCGCACTTTCGTGAGTATGTGAAGTAGGCAGTGTCTTGAAATTTTTCACCAGTTGTATTTTGGCACTAGCATTTGACTGATTGGTTAGCTTTAGCTAGCGTACTATAAAATACTGTGGAAGCGCCCACTTCATTCAAGTGCCCACTATTAACATTTCCCAAACTTGGGAATTCTGCCCGTTATATGTTAAGTGCCCAATTTAACCGGATAAGCGCTCATGCCTAGATTAACACTGTTTTCAGTGAACGTGGGGTGGGCGCTCTCCCGGTATTTTACGGTACTACCTTGGATCATCAAGTTGCGAGTTTGGAACTCGTATGACGGGAAGCCTTGAGCGGTCGTGGTAAGTGGTGAGAGGTCATTCCCCAATCTGACTGTGATAGACAGAAAAGAATCGACATGCACTGGTATAGATAACCTCGAAAACTGAATATGTGAATTTATTGCAATTGAACAAACTAATTGCAACACCAGTGAAATGAAAGGCTCCTTGTTATGTTTACCCGTGGTAGAGCAAATGAGAATTTTTACCTAGTCTCTACTTGTCTGTGCAGATTTTGTCATTTATTTACTGTTGTATACGCTGTGGCAGAAACATGCTATTAAAAACATCATCTCGTTAAATTTAAAGCCCAATTTCATAGGTTCTGGATTGTCACCTTTCATATTGCAGTAGCACACTCCTCGTGACAGCACCGTGCTAAACACAACGATTTGTAAATGTTTGCCCAGTGCTGACAGAAAAGCTCACAAAACAAAGATCATATACAGTTTTGGGTTGACTAAAAATACCACAGATATTACCAAACAAAAAACAAAAAAAAAACAAGTATTTCCTTGGTGTAAAAAAGTTTACAGATAAAAAAACGAAAATTTACTTGCTAGATAAAATCCAAAGTAGCCAAAACTTGCCTCTCCCCCATCTACTACTTTCTTTTCTTGCTAGCCGCAATGAAATTTATTCTTCCGTTATTGAAGTGCTACTGAAATCTCAACTGTAACAGCTTTCCTGAAGGCGTAAATTTTTTCTCTCACATTAACTCTGATTTATTCCAAATATAATGACCACAGAATCCGTCCGGAAGAGGCTAAAACTGAACAACGAGCCGACAGCAGACGACTTCTTCCTTGGTCCCGACTCTCCACAAGAACTGATCATGGACGAGGACGCAGATGAGAGGAGCACAACCAACCCGAGACGTCCGCCGTCTAGGCAGCAGAACCTGTCGCAGTTAGAACCACTCTTCAGCGAGACGCAGTTCGAACCAGACGACGTGCAGGCGGATCACATTGCCGGAACGTCGACCCCGACGTCGTCTGCTGCGTGCTGGACAGACGAGTCTTCATATGCCCTCAGTTTAAGACTCAGGGTCCACGAAGGTCGGCTCAAGTTTGTGGGGCTCCGAGACGAGACGTGGTGTGACAATGTCGAGGTGTGCTCGTCGCTTCTTTGTCTGTCTGCTTCCATTCCCCACCGGGTCCTGCCAAATGGTCACCCAGTTTCTTCCTTGCAGGATCTGCACGTTAGAAGCCACAGAGGAAACCTGCTCTCTCGGCCGTTCTGGGACATCTGGACAGAAGCGCGAGAGGAGGTCGTAACCGAGTCTCTTCTACTCTTTGCCACTCTTTTAGTTGACATGCCCTGTCTTTTGCGAGCTGCTTTGCCTAACAATCGTGGCAGGGATGCCGGGAGGTGGGGGGTGGGCCATGCTAAGATGGTGTTCTCTCTCAAACGAAACTCAGATTTTAATATCAGAGTTTCATTTAGTACAAAAAAAAAAAAAAAAAAAGTACATAAACAATAAAAACAAAAAACAAAATTTGGCATTAGGTCCCCCACTTGCAATACACTTTTGGCGTCCCTGGACCATGGTCTTTTGCAGTTGGAGCGGAGGAAATCGCTGCCCGACAAACCGGACGGCGTAGTGGAAAACCACGCGACCCAGTCTCTTCCCGAAGGCCTCGAAGCGGGGAAGCCAAGCGAATGCGTCGACGGGGTGGTGTCTCCCGTGGCTGCGTCCCTTTGGGTTGAGAAGTATCGGCCACGGCACTTCATGGAACTCCTGAGCGATGACGTAGGTTCTCTTGCCCCTTATTCCTACTCGCTTTGTTCAGTACCTCTTAGAGAGGCTGAGCCTGGTTCGCACCATTTCTTAAGTTGCCAGGGCCGCTTGCACCGGCTTGCAACGCAGCTCTCGTACCATAATGTCCTGAGAAATAGACCATCTAAAATCGAAATAAAATCGGGTGAAAATGAGGAGCAAGCTAACTTTCGGTGTGCTATAAGAAAAAGGTTGAAGAAATGCTAATTTCAGATTACGAAACTTGTGATTGCAGGGAGGGGCAATGAACCAAAGACGACTGACTGCCCTTCCCAGTCAGCAATGTTCGCTTATCTCCCTTCGTGGCTAAGTAACCATTTCTACTGAGGTCAGTGTTGACTAGGGCCCTGCAGTTACTAGAAGTCGGCTTTCTTTCGGTGTTTTTGAAAAAATTGCAAATTGTACCAAATATGGAGGTGGGGTTATCTTTCGGGGGTGTGGCATCTTTCGGGATGTTACGGTAGTCGCGTAGGGCTGCCTCTATAGTTATGCGTAGTTGCTGTAGTGTCGACGTATTAATAGACCAACTCCTTTATGATCAATACCCGCACTTCTGCTTTCCTTTAAAGGGATACTCCACTGTTTTTTCTATTGTCGCTGATTTGCCTTCAAATTGGCTAAATGTGCCAAAAGACGGGACTGAACTGAAGACCCAAATATTATGCCAAAATAATGGTTTATCGCAAAGTTATTAAAGTCTTCATTCTTGTTCTCACCGTTCTCCCTGCTCTTCGTGTTGATTATGGCAAGTTTGATTTTGATTTGTTTTTGTTTTTTATTCAGGGGGTCAATCGCACCTTGCTCCAGTGGCTGAAACTCTGGGACTGTGTGGTGTTCGGTCGTAACCCTAAGCCCAAACCCCATCCGGAAAAGTTGCAGCAGCCAGGAACTGGCAACAACACCTTCGTAAAGAAGTTCCTCCCGGAACTTAGTCAGGTTAGAGCAAAATTGCTGTTCTCTTTTTTTTTTTTTATTCATTAGTATTCTTCCTTGTTATTGCTCCCTTGTCGATTGGTATCTATTCGTTACCTTTGAACTTTTGGAACCTGGCTTTCCAATTTCATTGGTACTCAATATCATAGATTGTAATACACTGCCGTGTTGCGTAGAATGAGTTTATTAAGGGAAGAGATAAATCTTTGGTGCCACAAAACATTTCTAAAAGGGCAAGTTTTGGGAAGTGGTGATTTTGAAGTCCGCAGCTATATTTCTTATCATCTGCCGAGTTTCTTCTTTTGTGGAGCAATATTTAAGCCACAATGTCGGTTTGTGATACCTATGCGGGTTGAAATTGCACTGAAGGTTGACACAACAATGGCGCTTTCTCAGAACACAATTTTTTTACTCTTTGCAATTTTGCAGAGGGTATCTCAGCATTTCAGACAGATAGAAATATAACTTTTTTTGCAACATGTAGCTAAATGTGAAAACCTTACAATGTTGAGAGCAGATTCTTCAGTGTGGGTGTAGGAAAATTTTTCAATTGATCTGTTGTTTTATTGTTTGTTAGCTACACCTTGCACACTGAACTTTACTTTTTTCTAAGATCACTAATAATTTTTCAATCTCAAAAGTACCTCAACATTGTAATATTTTTATTTTGTAGTATCTAGTCATAGGTTCAACACAACTTTGTGTCGAGCAGTGCTTCCCTATTGCTTTTGCAAACAAAGGTGGACGAGTTTTAATTATCTTGAGTACAAATGTACCGACGGAAAAAAATAACCAAATAATTGATAAAAAAAAAAAAAAAAACTGAACAAATTTGTGCAGTTTTATTGGGCTCTATCAAGATATAAAGCAAGGTAAGGTCTTCCCACCGACTTTGGTCATTTTTCCACAGATGTCTGTTGAGGCGGTATAGCCTTCTCTTGGTAGGGTTTGCACTGAACTTTGCTTCGCCTATTTACCGTAATATCCTGAAAAATAGCCCTCCTAAAAGCAAGAGCAAATTGAGTGAAATGAGGAGTAAGCTAACATTCAATGTGAAATGAAAAGAAAAAATTTAAAAATGCTAGTTTTCATATTTTGTGACCTCCCAAACTTGTTTTCCCAGTCCTGACCTGTCAGCAATGTTTGCTTATCTCCAAACGTAACTAACTAACCCCATTTTAGCTGGCCAGGGCACTGCATTTACTAGAAACAAACAATCTTTTAGTGTTTTTCAACAAAAGAAAAAAAAAAAATGGAAATCATGCAAAAAGCTGGGAGGACGCTTAAGCTTCTCCTTTAAAAGTGGAACACGATAGTGTTATCCGGCCTCGTTCGCATCACCTACTCATTAGCTTCTCATGCTCAGAGTTACACGACGACCTAGTTCTCATGACACAACACTCCTTTATTTGTCCACGGTACGACTTTCTTCTCATTGTTTGTTCTTACACGTGATCTTCTTCACATTCCACAACACAACTTCACTGTTCTGTTTACACTACAAAGTTTCCTGTTCCTTCGACGTTCACGTGCATTGAGTATCTCACTCACTCACTACAGACAGTCACACATACCACACTTTGGCACACTCACTCATCGTAGCCAAGATTGTTGTAAATTCCTTCACATCTTTCTTGTTCCATGACATACTTGAACGACAGTCGTCCCCCCTTTTCTAGAGCACTTTCATCAAACTCAATCACTGCAATGGTGACCTGACATCAGACGTGTGACATCATGCCACATGACCTTGCGCTCTCCACGTGTGACGTCACACGTGGCAGTGACGTCATGATCCTATTGACCAATCAAGATTTTCCGGTCCTACCGGCGTCGCCGGTGGGACCGGCAGTTGCTGGCGGGAGTTGCTGGACTTTCTGCGACACGAGCTCCTTAACGCTGTCGCGTTAAAATAGGAGGAGGTTATTTTTCAGGGGTGGGGCAGCTTTTGGGATTGGCAACTCCAGCAAAATCGACTCCGCACGGCACGGCGGCAGCGCCGAGAAGCTCAAGAGAGGATGCCATTTCGACTCTATCGTATGCGATCGCTGCTTGGTTCTCGTAGGCAGCATAGAAACAAACATTGTTTCCAGTAATTATTTTTATGTTTCTGCCATGTCATTCCTACGCACTGACTAGAAGGTTTTTACCGTTGAAAAATCGCTTTGCTTTTATATGTCACACCGATTATACGCAGCAGTACAAGAAATTTATGGCCGTTTGCGTGTTCAACAGCGAAAACAACCTCCTTTCGTCCGCCATTTTGCCTGTCCAGCACGCCCCCTATAGTTCGCTGGAGTCGCGAATATTATAGTAGTATTCTTGGTCACCTTTATGAGACAATGTTGCTTATGTTTTTTTTAAATCTTTTTATAGATTATAGCCTGGAAACACAGCCCAAGGATCATTTGATCTGTGGGCATTTTATCCCATGAAAGTTGCAATAAAAAAAAAAGATCTAGTGTAACTCTGACCCAATTTTAACATACTCTGGCCTCCATTGGACCCGGAATGACATTTTACTCGGTTTGGGGAGCATCAGAAATAGAATTCGCTACGAGTCAGTCATTTTCACTCTCTCGCATTGCATTTGGCGTGTTACCATGATGTGCAAGTTTCGGCGAAAAATAGTAGTTTTATTTAGGCTGTTTATTTCATTTGGCCTCGTGCTTCCTTTCTCATAGTTTGTTCAATCCTGCATTCGTCTAATTGTGGTTTTGTTTCAGGAGTTGGACGAGCACAAGAGGCCCCAACAAAAGGTCAGTCTGTCACCTCACATCTTGTCTTGATTCAGCCTGCAAAACATTTATATTTTGCAGCATTTTTGTGGGAGATGCAAAATATTGTTATACGTGTTACATTTGATGTGTATACCTTGACTATTGTCAATTTTCTAACGTTCCCACACGTGAAAACGTGCAGGTGGTGCTCTTGTACGGCCCTCCTGGTCTCGGAAAAACGACCCTCGCTCACGTCATCGCAAGACACGCAGGCTACAACGTCGTGGAACTCAACGCCAGGTCGGTATCGTGCCGCCCCTCTGCTTCAAGAAATGTCCGTGTGTTTTTGCATTTCCACATACTGTGGAGAGGGCCAATCATCGCTGTCAAAGCTTTGCAAATTATGATAGCCGCCTCGGTGGCTCCGAGGTGAGAGCACCGGCCTACGAATCCCCATGTGGCGGGTTCGAATCCCGGCCGAGGTGCCCGCAATCTGACGGAGGCTTATTGCGGAGGAGGCGCCGTGTAACCGAGCTTTTGGTTGCACGTCAAAAGGTCCCCAGGTGGTCCAAATTAATTTTCAGTCCTCCGCTGGGGCGTGCCAGATGCCCGTCGTTGGTTTGGCACGTAAAACCCCCAAATTTGACTTTGCAAATTATGAGGGTTGCCTCTTTCACTAGTGAAGACTGACTTTGTCTAGTCACGTGTACGCTGTTGCAACTCTTGGTAAGCTGAAAGTGCTAGGTCACCTCGGTAAGCCCTTGCCACTGCTCGAGCAGGCGTGACGATTAATCACGTGTGGAAAATAACCAGACTTATGATGTCTAAATCAACACCGAATACTGATTATGATACACAATTCCACTATGGTACTCGTCACATTGAGAGAAAAAAAGAGTTTTGCTCATTATTCGTGCATTGCACAAATTAGTCCTTACAAGATTTGGTTGTGGAAGGAAGATGTTGGTGTTTGAAACGTGTATGTCATGATAAAATAAAATAAATCTAATCTAAGATGCACCTGCATATATCTTGATTAAAAAAATAAAGGGAGAAATTAGTAACACGCTTTGAGGAGCCCGACTTATTTTTACTACGGTTCCTGAGGTGAAAACGAGTATAGCGACATTAGGGCATTACTTCTGTTTCGTTTCAGTGATGACCGAAGCCCCGAGGTGTTCAAGACCACTCTCGAAGCTGCCACCCAAATGAGGGCGGTGCTGGGCCAGGATCCCCGTCCCAACTGCCTCATCATCGACGAGATTGATGGGGCGCCAGCCGTAATATCTCCCTTCCTCTCCTGGTTTTCATTTTCTTTTTTTTACATTTGGGGGGCATGTCGGGAGAACTCGCGAGCATGCGGTTGATTGATGTTTGCCGTACGATTAGCGTCAATATGGAAATATACTTGAGCATTCCTGCTCATTGCGTCCTTACTAAACGATGTTCAATATTTTCAGAAGTTATACCGTAAGTTGAGCTCCGGAAAGTGAATGATTGGGCATTTGTTGCATCGTCTGGTTGCATGGCTTCTGACCTGTGTCCGAGCAGAATCACAACATTGTTTCTAGTTTGAAGAGCTCTCGCACGTTGCCTCCTGTCTTCTATGTTGCCCCTTTGTATCTTATGTTAATTTTCTTTTGTATACTTTGAGACACTGCATTTTTGAATTGGAGGAATGATTTGACATGACTCATTAGAATCTCAGTAATGTATGGTTGTGCTACGGTAGCATATTTAGAGGTGCAACGAAGTTCAGTCCTCGAATTTCAGAATTGCGCTCACTGATCCGTAAGCACCGCATGTCTTCTTTGCAGAATTATCAACATATTCTTTTTAATTTGTTTCTTTTTTTCCTGCTTAACCTGGCTAAAATTAAATAAAAAAACAACAACAAAGGCCTCTATCAACATGCTTGTGAACATGATCAAGTCTAGTGGGCCGACGAACACTGGCACAGGCAAGAAGCGGTCAAGGAAAGAGGGCAGTCTCCTCCTCAGACCTGTCATCTGCATCTGCAACGAGCTGTGAGTTTCTGTGCCATTGCATCTCAAAACTCTCCAACGTATGTGTAATACAAAGACAAATGAAGGAGACTGCTTCCACTATTTGGATTTCCAAGTACGCTGCTGCAGATTGTAGGGATTGTAGGGGTAGTTTAAGTAGCATTAGACAGGAGAATAAAAAAAAATAGTTGCGCCCAACAGCCGCTTTGGGGCCCCGACGAGATATTTGCATATTTGCATATAGGAGAGAAAAGCCATCCATTTCCCAAACGTTTCATTGAAAGTCGGAAGCTGTGTCGTCCGTTTTGTCCTTTCGTATATCTCTCTCAATCTTCTCTGAGCATATTTTTTCACTGTCTTTTTAAACCAAAATCCATCAAACATTCAGAATTTTTTTTTTTTTTTTCTGCTTTTGTGCATTTGTAGTTGGCAGAATTGCAGCTGCATTACTGTTGTCTTTCTGGGCAGGTACGTCCCGGCGTTGCGGCCTCTGCGACAGATTGCACTTGCTCTGCACTTCCCCCAGATTGCAAAGACGAGGCTCGCCTCTCGGTTGCAAGAGGTGACGATAATATTTTTAGTTCTGCTTTGATGTCAAGTGACTTTGTAGTGAAGTCTCGGACCCTATATAGTTTGTTTCCAACATAAGATCTGCAGTAGAAGTTCTGCCTCCAGCGAAAGCTTTCTACTTTCGATAACGAACTTGGCACAAGCGCAGCCAAACCCGACGGAAGACCATGAGCTGGGGGTGAAGCAAACGTTACTCAAAGTTATAGTTAGCTAAACTGAAATGTAACTTAGTTACAAAGGCAGTTTTGTTTGTAGAAATGTCTCTAATTACTGCTACATTTAAGCGCAGAAGTTCGAGTCCGTCCTAAAAGAGCCCATGTGGTCAAGATGTGCTATGATTGCCGACAAACGGTTTTGGTTGCCAGCAAAAAAAAAGATACTGGCACAGTTTTGTTTCGATTCGGTGCTCTGTTTATGGTAGTTGGAGACAGTGAGGTGCTGTGCTCATTACAGTTACAACATAGATTTCGCTGTAATGTCCGTGAAGTGTTCACAAACTAAAGTTGCAATTAACTTTACAGCTGTTGAAAATTATTGTCTTGCTTTTTTTTATGCCCCTTTGTATGATGTGAATTAGGTTTCATCTGTCCTTACTAATGTTTTCTTTTTAAGTCCAAAATTTTAATTGCGGTGCTTTTGCAGATCATGCGTCGTGAACGGATGAAAGGTGACACTGCAGCCATTCTGGCGCTGTGTGAGAAAGCTGAAAACGATGTCCGTTCCTGTCTGTCCACTCTCCAGGTAGTCTTAGTGGCTTGTCAGACATCTGTTATCTGTCGTACATTATGCCTGTATTCTCAGAATCTATTTTGCAATAATACATAGCTACTATACTCCGTTTCACGATAACTTGGCAAACTGTGGAGGCTAGGGCCCCGCGACCCAATAAGAGCGTCGGAGTGAGGCACGTGACCCGTTTTCACGTGAGCATTTGTGTCCCCACGCCAAATGCAAGGTGCGAGGCCCGGAGGAACCGGCTGTCGTCTGCTAGCTAAAAGTCGTCTGCTCCAAAACCAACCAACTTCGGATGAACGTCCACTGCAGCAACATATCTGTCCACGAGAAAAGTGAGCGCTTCGGGAACAGTTTACGAAACAACCATATGCTCAATTTAGCCACGAATCTGTGACGGGTGCTAATGGCAGGGCACAGTGCAGTGTTTTGAGCAGAACCAGCCAATTACACGGCTGCTATTGCCAACGGCCACGGCCAACAAGGCGGAAAAAATCGAGCGGATACGGATGCGGCATCACTTTTTGGTTTAAATATAATTGAAACTAAATTTGTGATTATTTATTCTTCATATCTTCTTGTTATAAATGGAATCATGCGAGTTCAACTGTTGACCATGGAGTGTTATCACGTGCCTTTCTTTGGTGCCCTTATTGGGTCGTGAGGGCTGCAGCCTCTGCAGTTCAGCAAGTTATATTGAAACGGAGTACGGTGTTGTCATACGTGTATTGAAAGGTAACAGACTGTATTCTTCATAATTTCTTGCCTGTGTGTTGTGTAACTATTACGTATACATAGTAGTTATTGTGCATGTGAGATGTATATGGTTAGATTAAAGGCATAAATTATCTTGTAAGAGAAGCATAGAAGTTGAGGGATTTAAAGGTGTGTTCTGCTTCTCGATGAGACATCCTACTTAAAAATCGTAATAATAATAATTATATTCATGTCCTCAGTTCCTATCGACTGATATTATGGCATAGTTTGTCCTTGAAATGTACTGCAAGTAATTCACTTCAATATATTTTTAATGTCAATGTCAAACGTCTGAAATGCAGTGGAAAAACTCAATGTTTGGCTGGTTGTAGGCAAACCACTAGTATGACTTTGGAAAAAAAGATAAGCGAGGTCGTATGACTTTATCCCCTCAGAGATCTGGCATGACCTTACATTTTTGTTGTTGTAAAAACTCCACAGACATCAAACAATTAAAGATTTTAAAAAAATTGATTAACCAATATACAATTGCAATTGTGTAGTAATGATTTTCGGTTGTCCTGTGCAGTTTGTACAAAGTCGCAAGCAGCAACTGACACTGACAGATGTGCGCACATTCAACGTGGGGCAGAAGGATATCCAGAGGGGTCTGTTCTCCGTCCTGCAAGAGGTCTTTCAGAAGCCTCGAAACGACAGGTACGGAAAGAAAAACTTTACTCTTTATTGGCTACCAAGCAATCTGCTGAAAGCTTCCTCACTATGACATTGGGTCAATTTTGCCAGCTTGGTTGGCATGCTCCATATCAATTCGGGTGCACTGTCTCGGTACAGAAGTAGTAATCCAGACACTCAAGTAGCAGACAAGATGAGACTCAGGTAGACCTTACGTGGACTGCTCGCTTTGTGTTGCTGGTGCAACATTGTGTCAATGCACTGGAAACATAAATATAAAATGCCATTATTATAAAACCATTCCCAGTTTTTTTTGTTTTCGTGTATTGGCAACATTAATGCTAGTTTGTTGTGCGAGTTACAAGTCTGGATAAGTCACTTGACCCAATAAAAAAAGGTACTGTTGCCATGTTTCTGCAGCAGCAGGATGTGTTTTTGTTGCCTTCAGGTTTCTTATGCTTCTGTGTACAGACTACTCCCAACCCCTTTCAAATCGATGCTTTTATTTTCTTGTTTCTAAAATTGCACCAACATTTTTTTTTTTTTTACATATTTGTTTTATTTTGGTGGACAGAAAAATGAGTATGACATTCATCCTAAACATTGTGCAGAGAAGTCTTAGCTTTTTATCCCCTCTACAAGTTCCCCCAGATCTGTATGGCTCTTTGAGTTTTCTGTTGATGGCTCTGCTGCGCTTCCATGCTTGCTTGACATATTTTAACTATCTTCTACTTTCGACCTACCTATAACAAAGCTGCAGCAAATTTTTCTCTACTGAGAAACCTGGATCCGGAAACATGCAGGGAAACCCTACTAGCTCGGACACTTGCGGTTGATGCTTTTGGATCGTCTGATTTCTGTTGGCATTTCAAATGTTAAATATGTCTGATTTGGGAAACTTTGTTTTAATGTGCGCTGTGTCTTTGAATTTGAAGATTGCGGACACATTAAGCCCTTTTCTATGTTAGCAGTGTCCTGCACAAATCTACAGCGTGTCACAAATGAAAATTTACATGGTCTTTTTTACCGCAAAAATAAACTAGGCATCGCCGAAGGCTCATTCTTGGCCCAAAGGTAGAGCTAGAGGTCACAACCAGGTGCCAAAGTTTCAGCCCGATCCGATAAATTAATCAAAAGTTAAAAGTGATTTTCTGAAAATTTCAATGGGAAAATGGAGCCCAATTTTGCCTGTTTTCGGTTTCTGGTGCCATAGAGCCCCATTCATTCGAAAACTCCGTCGGCCGCCATTTTCCCATTCAAATTTTCAGAAAATCATTTATAACTTTTGACTAAGTTATCGGATCGGGCTGAAACTTTGGCATCTGGTTGTGACCTCTAGCTCTATCTTTGGGCGGAGAATGAGCGTTCGGCGATGCCTAGTTTATTTTTGCGGTAAACAAAAACCGTGTAAATTTTCTTTTGTGACACCCTGTAGTTGTGATTCTTCTGACAAAGCAAGACTGTTGAGTCTGCTAACAAACTCTCAAGTGTCTTTTTTTTTTTTTTTTTCAGAAGCACAGTAACACATTTTGTTTCCTTTTTGTTTTTTAACTCACCACTAATCACTTTATATGGCCACAGTGTACATTGTCATTATTATTGTTACTTATTATTATTCATACATGCTGCTGGCTCACGTTTGAGAGCTTCAGCAGGTGTGGGTGCTACATAAACAGGTGAAAACAAAAACACCTTTTGAAGTAGATTGTACAGAATGCAAATAAAACAGCAATGTACACTTCAGGAAAAAAGTGCAGAAATAACATTCCAAGACAAAGCGTACGTATTGCGTGGGTCAAAGGGATCGATGGCCGTTTTAATGTATCGCGCTAGGATTTACTACAGAGGCGCCTAAAGTTGGTGGAAGCTTTCGCTAAAATTGTGGAAAGATCAACTCACCTAAGTAAATAAAAAAATTAAAAAAAACTATGTTTTTCCTATACTTTGCATGTACACTAGAAAAATATAATGTGTTACTGTGGCACTTATTTGGGCCAAATGAAGTGAAGAATAGGTAAGCCAGTTCTATTTTATTTTCATTTCACAAATTTTTCAATCGTAGTAAATGCCAGAATAGCCCACAACGATTTTCTGATGATTTTGAGATGAAAGGCTTAGCAATAACTATTCCATAGACAAAACTAGAGCACTATATAGCTCCTTCGGAGCGGAGTAGCGCAATCTAGAACGCCCTCTTTCGGTGACTAGCGGCGAACGGCCGGGGGTTCCAACACCATTCAGAAATGCATGGGGAACGTGAGAAAATCGCTGTTTCTTCAATACTGCGGGGATATACGGAACGTCAGTAGTTTTTGACATAAAAAAACATTTTAGATTAATTTGCGCTAATTTGGGTGCCATGTAAGGGCGTAATTTGTTTTTAAAAATTGCCTGAGCGGCATCATGCAGCAGACGACGCGGCGACGTCACGTAGACATCGCACCGTCCACGTGACCCGCTCCAGCCAACCCAGGAAGTCCACCTCCGCTGCGTACAAAAATCGTCTGCTTCAAACGCCATTGCCTTGGAAATAGCCTTCTCAAAATTTTCACACACATCTGATATTATGAAAACTTTGATAGAGTGTTTGGCGCTTTACCAACTTCATGACAGACTAGTTTCGAAAAGTGTGAACTTGGCATTTATTTTTTAATCAGCCGTGTTGAGTCGATCTCCATGTATTCTCTCATAGGGCGGGCCGCCTCCTGGAACCCTGAGTACCACGTGACTTTCGCCGCGCTGCTCTGTTGGCCATGTTGTCGGCGAAACACGCGGATCAAAGGATTGCGCTACTCTGCTCCGTAGGAGCTATATGGTGCTCTAGACAAAACCAGTCTTTATTTTATTCTTTTTTTTTTTTACTTCAGGCAGCTGTGTAGTAAATTCCAGCGCGATAAGTTAAGAAACCAATTTATGCGGTCCTTTCAAACCACCATCGATACATTTGGCCCAAGCGGTAGTTGGGTAGATATTGTGATAAATGAAGTCAGTAGCGATTTTAACAAGACCAAAGTATAGTACAAGGGAGATCGAAATAATTTTCCGTAAGTCATTTAAAATACCATCTACACTATCATGTTCCGTGACCTCTAGTGCATGTTTGTTCCAGTTCTCAAATGAAATGGTACCAAATGTTAACTTGAAAATGAAAACAAAGCACAACAATGGTCAGAGCTTGCATGAAGAACTGGAAAAGCAACCCTCTGCAAGACTCCGAGAGGTAGCTTATATTTTAGTAAGAGCCCCTTTCCTGGCAAATAGAAAGCACCCGGTGGGCGCATGGTGAGCGGATTCCTTTGCCCCTAGCAAGATACGTACAATCTCCGTGTTCTGCTCGTAGATCTGGAGCCGGTGGAGCACTCGCCGAGCGGCTCCAACAGGCTTGTGGGAAAGTGGTGGAGCGCATTGAGCGGTCTGGAGAAGTTCTCTGTGCCGCCTTTTTTGGGGGAGTTTGATCCATAGTCACTTGCAACATTTCAGCTTGGATATTTGCAATAGCAATGTTTTAGCAGCCATGAAAGCGACTGCACCGTTAGCACTTGACCATATAAAGTTATGGGATTATCAGAGGGATGTGGTACTGTTACAAGCCTCGTTACGAGCTGGTCGAAGGTCGACGAAGCAATAAGACTCGGTGCCGAGGTGTTAACGTTCCCTCCGAACAGCCAGGGTTGCGATCAAGATGTGTAAAAAGTCACTCTTACTTGGTGGGTATGCTTATTATTCTGCGGGAAGGATATGTCGATTGGTTGCCTTATAAGCTGAAGCAATAACAACAAGCCCCGCTCGTCCAGCACTGCGGGTTTCGCGCTGTACACGGGACTGGTGAGGCATCGGAGGGTGGCGGTGGTGGAAAGAACAGTCGGAACAGCACCATAGCAGCGGCAGTGGCAGCCACGCAGCAGAAATGCCAGCAAGCAGAGCAGCTTTGTCTGCTGCCTTGCGTGCCCCTGATAGCCGTCGCTTGGCCGCTGCACTACCGAGGCCAGATGCTCCGAATACCAAATATGCGAGCACTCTCTATTTGCCAGGGGAAGGGGCTGTATGACACTGAGCTTCTCCAGTTCCGAGTGGCTTTACCCTGAAGAAGCTAAGTCTCTTAGCAAAGCATTTGTTGCCACTCTTACACTTCTGGGACATTCGTTTTCAGGATCATGGAGGCTTGTGGTTTTGTTTATTTGTTATGGTTTGGTTCTTCTGCTTTTAGGGAAGGAGGAGGAGTACACTTCTTATTGTAATTGTTATTCTTTTGCCACTGTAATTTAGGAAGGCGTACCGACAGCTCTATGGCGACGAGGACCTGACACTGTCCAGACTCCGGAGTCCCGAAGACCTGAGGTGCTCCGCTTTTGTTCCGTTTGACCTTCCTTGTAAACTATTTTTAATCATGTCCTATTCTTTCTCTCTTATTTGTTTGTGTTCATTGAAGCAGGTTTTTCTGAAACATACTGTTTTTGTTCCAGGTTTGAAAACCTGGTCCATTCAACGCAGGCTTTTGGAGACTACGAAAAGTTTGTGCAGGCGCTGTTCGACAACTATGTGCACGTCAACTTCAAGGATCCCAACTTCCAGACTGCAAGTCTCTTTTTGTTTTATGTATTAGCACTACATCTGTTTCCCTTTTTATTCCAACTTCTGCCTTTCAGCGTCAGTCAGAATCTGGATGTCTTGCATTGCTTTTTGCTTCTTTCTCTTTTTTTGGAAATCAATTTTATTTCACGCTCAGCATACAAAATGATTGCCAGAAACCTGAAAGCTCTTGAACAGGCAAATCGCCAATTACACAGGGTGTAAAAAACTCTAGTTGAAGAGAATTCTTGAAAGCTCTGCCGCTTTCTTTTTCTGCTAGCCACTTCCAAAAAATATGCTGCCGCTATATAGCGCTTAGCTGCGTGACCCTTTAATGTTAGATTCAATATGATCCGTCTTTCTTACCCTTTCTCTCCCTTTTTTCTTCTGTTCTGTTGCAAACTTGGTGCAGATTCAGCAAGGTCCCGAGTGGCTGTGCTTTGTGGATGGACTGCTGAACACTGTCCACCGCCTACAGAACTACTCGCTCTACCCGTACCTCCCCTATGTCGCACCAGCCTTCCACTGCGCCTTCTCAGTGTTGCCTTACACCAAGATGGTGTTCCAGAACTCCTTCCTCGAGGTGTGTTGCCTTTTGCTTTCGCCATTAACTGCCCTAGGGACCCTTTAGCTTCTGCTCTTCTTGAGGTCATTGATCCGGCTCTCTTTGGCGAGGCGATTGACCTATATCGAGATGAGGCACATCTTTGTTTGCGTGGATTTGTTGTACTGTTGCCATTTGAGTGTATACAGGGTGTGTTTTGTTTTCTAAACACCGAAATATTTGTTTTTCAAGGGAGTTTAAAATGATGAAATCGTTCTTCCGATAGCATTTTCAGCTGCGGCGGACATGCAGTGTTCCTGGAAGCGCCTGCTGTGTGACGCTGATGGCGTGAAACGGCCACCATGTGCATGTTATAGATAACAAAGTCAAGTGTTGGACACTGCACAATATCGTTAACGCGAACACGATATCGGTACTTTATTATAGTCTGCTCAGACAGAGCATCGATGGGCACCAATCTTTAACGCTTAAATAGTGCTCTGAGCTGGGACTTTCTGCCCCTCTAGCTTGACTTGATGGCAGCTTTCCAGTTCTGAGAAACAATAAGGAAAAATCACCGACTCCTCGTTCGTGCTTGAGTCATTGAATGTTCCCAGAGTACCGAAGCTCCCGGGCTTGGCGGCGCCAAAATGGCGGCTCAATTTTTTTTTTTTTTTTTTTACTGTGGTCATTATGAGCATTTAGCAAGCATGTTTTTGCGTAAAAACCAGCCGAGAACTCTTTTTATAGAAAATTTTCACCGGAGCTTACTACAGAATGACAGGAGCCTGATGTTTTCTTAAAAGTTTAGTTTACAAGGCAATTAATATTGTTTTTATGGAACCATGTCTCACCGGTGATTTCAGGTAGCGCGTCCCACCTGGGTATGTCTTAACTTAGGTGGTAATTCGCTGCGTGTCCATTTGGGAGACGGCGGTTGGCATCCCTAAAATCCCTTCCACTATATACGTTTCGGTGCCAAAATGGCCGATCATAGCTAAAATAAAACAGTCACAGCGGACGCTATTGATTGTGATACTCTGGAAACATCAAGTTACTCTAGTTCGTGCTAACGGGATTGTGCTATGTATGTATATATAACACTGGGTTTTTGTTAATGGTATAAAGAGCATAACGATTTAAACTTGATTAATAGAGAAGGAGCACAACAGGGTACAACATTCCTAAATGCAACTTTTCCTTCTCTATACTCTAAGTAAAACATGCCATAAAAAAAAAAAGGAAAAATCTTGGCTGCTGTTTTTTTTAATTGTTTTTGATTTGCTTTATGACAAAAGCTCGGACCAGTTCCTTATTAACTGGATGGCCATCATTGAATTGAAGTGTACCCAGTCGCACCTCACGCTTTGCCCCTCACCCTTTGCCCGGCAGGCCCGTGGGAAGGAGACGCAGCTGTCCAACATCCTTTCATCCCTGCGGGCGGACACGTCGCCCCAGAGTCGCTGCTACCTCACGGGGAGCACCCTGGTGCTCGACGTTCTGCCCTGGCTCACGGGCATCCTCCAGCCCACCATCAGGCCGGTCAGTCTTGGAATCCCGCTTCTGGACGCAGGTTCCCTATGTAAAATCGAGGATGTCGTAGTCAAAGTGTCGAAACAAAAGTTCAATACAAAGGCAGCGGAAGTTCGTACTGCAGAGCCCAGACATCCTCGGTTCAACCCCTACCACTGCCCATTTCGATCTGAATGAGCATCGTACCGGCAGGCAGTTGTGTATCGCTACTGCGTGATGCATTTTAAAGACTCCAGGCTGGCAGTCATACCGTACTGGCTAAATTTGTCGTCTTCAGTGTGAAGTAGTGCTGCCATTTGTTGGCAGACCAACCTCACACTGTCTAAGCAACCAACATGCTTTGCTTTGCTCCCGAGTGAAAGACTGAAGACTAATGCTGACCACCCAAAGGTGTTCAGCATGCCACTGAAATTTCAGTTACACAACGTCTACACTGTAAGAAGCTTTAGTCAGACGATGGGCACTTTGGCTGGGGTCTGAGCCAACAACTGGAGGAGCTGTCAACGTCTGACAGCAATTGGCAATTGTCGGTGGCAAATATTACTATTGGAATGGTCGGGCAAGAATGATATTCAGCCTTGACACATAACAGTCACAGTTTACTCTAGTGGTGCAAGCAGAACTTGCACAGAACAATTGCTGTGGGAAGTTCACTGGAATGGTCAAGTAGAGGGCATCACATTTTGGTGTTATATTCAGTTCCGGTCGATGTTGCACTTCATTTATGTTTGTAGAGGCATTGTTTATCACAATCTTTTTAGTTGTAACTGGGAGGTCGGCAGCCTGTTTGCAATCGACCATCTAACACTGCCAGTTCTCATAATATGCCAATTGTTACAAGTTTCCAAGCAGCTAAGCAGTCTTACAGAAGTTCCTCTGCAAAGATATGTTTCCACACTATCCATATGCCATGCAGTAATCAAAGTGTTCTCATGTCATTTTCCCAATGAGCTTTTGTTTATTATTATTATTCGAGATGTCAGTTAACCTCGGAACGAGGGAGGAAAAAGAGGGTAGACAAATGTTAAGAGGGTAGACAAATGTGAAGGTCTGGACACTGGTAATGTGTTGCCCAATGCTAATTAGTACTACAGCAACCAATCTGCTAACCAACTCGCATGTCTACCAGCTCACATGCATTATTTACTTGGCAGTACTTGCCTGTGATTTGTCTGCGGTCCCTAGGTGAACACCCAGCTGTTCAGCGCTGAAGAGCGGCAGAAACTTCAGCAGGTCATCTCAGTCATGGCTTCATTCAACCTGACTTATCACCAGGCACGGACAGCCGACGGCGTCTACCAGTACGCACTTGAACCGTGAGTGCTTGCTCATTTCTTGGAGCAACTTAAAATGCCGCTCCAGAGCTACAACCCCTCATCCCATTCATTTCATAATTTTAGTTCTTTTATGAAACTGACTTAGCATGCATGCTCATAAATCTGTTGCAGGGCTCCCAGTGCCATAGTCATTTTGTGTAACATTTTAAAAGAGTGGTAAACTAGACATACTACTGGCTAACTTGTAATGGAGTTTGTTTGTGTACTGATAAATGCTTCTTCTTGTTATGGGATGTTTATGGCATTGTTTGTTATGGGATGTTGGGCATTGGTATCTGGTAAGCTTTTATGGAATTTGTTGGTATTTTTTTTTTGTATTTCTCTTTTCTATGGCAAACAGTATTACGACGACCATAACTAGTGAAGTACCAGTCTTGTAGTCATTTTTATATTTCTGTAGTCTTCTGTTTGTTGCACCAAAGGAAAGTGTGGATGTCACAATTATTTAACAGCATGACACCCTCTAATGAGCACAGGCCTGTACAGTAGCCATGTCCCTAATATTGAGTACAAACCCTCGCTGCAAAAAGTGCTGCTGAATTCAAACCGCTTAGAAATAATTGCAAAATGCCTTAGCATGTACATTGTCATTGATGCAACGCTTGTGTTAACTCGCGTAAATTGTATGTGTAGCACAATTCCTGTGAAAAGATAACAAGAAATTTTTTGCCATTTTTTTAGGCAGACATTTACGTTGTCAACCTGGCGCATTAGCGTCCAACATCAAAATTTTTTAGCTCTTTCCTGACCGCGCCCATATGCTGGTGATCACTGGTGATCGATGGTTTCCGAGCGCCGTCAAGAGATTAAATTTAGGGTGGAGAATTATGTTCCACAACCTCGTGGATAGCCGAAGAACTGTAGTTTTGGTTTCGACATGTAGTAGGTTTGAGCATTATCAAAAGCTGGTGCGCTGTCAAAAATAGTCCTGGGAACGGTGGCTGCACTTGTCTAGCATGGCTCACTGCTTTCATCAGTCTTTGTAACAAAAATGGCAATATTTACGTAATTCAGCTGTATTGTGGCATGTTTTTTGTACCTCAAGAGCTACGGGGACACTTTAAACGATGTTAGAGGCGTTGCTTAACAAATGGTTGTCGGTAAGCATCACTGTAATTTCCAATGCTGTTCTGAGCCAGCGTGCATGTCTAATGTTCCCTACAAGGCGGACAAAAACTGCTAAATATGAAGGAACTGCAATCAAGAATATGACAAAACCAAAGTAGAGCAAAAAAAAAAGCATTCTGCTGGGCATGTGATCTACTGTCTGTGTTTCACCAATATAAGAATTCCTTCGTTAAAAAACACGTGTTAAAGAGGCTAACCCTCCGACAAACCAAAAGCTCTGTTATATTCCGACGTTGAGTGTAGCGAACGCAGCATAACGCAGAACACGCACCTTTTATTAGCCGGCGAGCAGGAACTCGATATCTGCAACCAATCGGCATCTGTGTGCTCTGCGCTGCTCTGCGTTTGCTACGCTCAACATCAGAGTGTAACAGAGCCTCTAGAGTACACTAACTTTCAGAAGTAATAGCTGTGGGTGTGGCCAGGGCACATTTTGTGTATTTTAAATTTTTCTTTTTTTGTGGTTTAATTTCACATGGCTGTAGAAGTTTCGACATTTATATGCCTTTTGCACATACATTGTATTTTCGAGGAATAAAAATTTAAAATCTTTTTTTTGCATTATACCAACCTCTGTTTTTTTGAAAGAACAACTATTTGGGACATTTTGATGTGTCATATAGCTCCATATGCAAATTAGATAGGAAAATAAAAGCGTTTGAACGGATTTTTTTAAAATCGCTACTTTTCCCATGGTCAGGAAAGAGTTAATTAAGGTAAAAAAAAAATATTTTTGTCATTTCTCATGGGAGCAGGGTTATGTCATCAAATTTTAGGAGATAAAACCTACCACAAAAATTTTGGCTTACTGCTTGCACGTGACAAATTTTCTGGCTCAGTTTTTTGGGGTCTTGAAGATCGGTGCATTTCCGAGTCGGACATGAAAAGAATGTTAGCTCGGCGTGCGCCCGTTCGACTAAGTCACTTCCGCGACGCAGGAGCATCGACGAAGTGACGAGATTCCCTGGCGTCACCCAACCGCCGCAGCTGACATACGCAACCAAGCAGCTCATTGCCAGAGAGGTGAGCTTAGCTCAAATCGGCACGTTTTATTTTAAAGTAGTAGCTTTTTTCATTGTTTTGACGAAGCATTGGGTGACTTTCCTTTCATACGTCGCAGCTCGAGGTAGAAAAAATGCGGAGGGGCGACGTCCCCGACGTTCCCGTGCCTGTGAAAGAAACCCACCGAAATCCGACCGCGGTGGCGACTCCCTGGAAGCCACCGCCAAAGCCCAGTTTCAAGCCTGTGGAGGAGTCACCAAGGGTGAGCCAAAGATTATCATTACCTTTGTGGGTTTTGTTACGGATGTACAATGTTTCGTATGATTGATTGATTGGTTAGTTGATTTTCAGAGTACATAGTATATGTCACAGTAGACTAATTCGAGAGCTACGCTCGGACCTTCGGCACTCTTTTCGCCCTTCGTCTTATGCCGCTACGACAGTTTTTCGTCTGTTAGTGTCACGTGGCATTCGCTTTTGTGCAGGCAGCTTGTGGGTTGTGGGTGCTGCAAGTTTGTGGCCTAGAGCCGCAAAGGTGTCGTTGGTGACAGTTACGGTTCTTAAATATCACGTGTTGAGAGTTTTAGATGCAGCTTTTAGGGACTGACAACATTCCTGTTCTCTGTTGAGAACTGCTTTGGCTAGCAGTAGGACAAACAGCGCTTCTTGCATTTGCTACCTGTTAGGCAGCTTGGCAAAAACTGGTGACAACTGGCTGTATACTGCTCCTTTGCAACACTATGACTAAAGTGGCATTACTCTGAAGCATAGCTTATTCAATGGCTCTAGGACATATACTACTAATGTATTAACTTGAAGTGGATACTCCTGAAAACCTCTGGCAGCCAACATTTTGCTAAGAAATTTCGATTCTTCAAGGAAACGTTATGAGGCAGAATATTTTAGCATGGCTGTTCCCTTGACGTTTTCTCTTGTATCAAAACCTTTGCATTCATTTTTGTTTGTTTTTGCAACTGGATTTTCGTTTAATAATTGCTCGTTCTTATGTTCTGACTCTGGCATTGTTATCACTGTTGTGTCCTTATCCTTGACATTGCTTTGTCTTCTGGTACGTTACTGTGGATTGTGTTGATAGGCTAGTTCCAGGCTACCAGCTGGGCAGTATAATCTGGGATTGAGCAACAAGTGGTTGTGAAACAGAAGTGAAGGTTGGCCAGAATGGGCCAGCTAAACAAAAATTACATTACACACGCACAAAAAAACAAAACAAAAAAAAACGCCATTCACGCTGCTGATTCACCGTAAGCAATGAACCAACTAGCTCAACCTGTGAGAAGCGAAGGAATAGTGGTAAATTTTTTAGATTTTAGGTTGTGTTAATTTTCAATTATTTTTCAGGTTGTTCTGGACTTCTTTGGTCGTGTGATTCAGAAGCCAATTCAAGGGGCCAGTGCTGGTTTGTGTTACATATCTGCTTTTTTATTTTCTCCCAAGCCTGCTTTTGTTTATCCCATCAAATTCAATCTATAGTTACCAGTTGTTTGTTAAAGGGGTACTCCGGCGATTTTTTGAGCTACCTCAACTAACTATATTTTCTGGCTCCCCGTCCTTCACCCTTTCCAGTATGCTATTTAGTATTGCGAAATTCAAAATAGTTATTGTGAAATCGGCAAATGAAAACGATGCAAAAGCCAACATTAAAATATACCCACACTTTTCAGTGCCGTGACGTCATTCGTGGGCAGGCTTGCAAGTCAACCAAGCAGTCTAAAAAATAGAACATGCCAATCATTTGTTCCGTGCTGGTGCGGGGGTATTGGTACGAGCTTCCAAAGCATTCATTTGGCACCATGAAACTGCTTCCAATCAGTTGGGAACAAATTCTACAGCCCAAAAAGTGAAACCCTGCCTTCCACTGACGTCACTTTTTCGTTGTTACCAGTAGAGACTTTCGGTTTGAAAAACATGGTGAGGAGCAAAATTTTAAATTCAATAACTTTGTGAAAAAAATTTATTTTGACCTAATATTCGGGATACTAGTTTAGCGATGTTGTTTGGCGAGTTTAGCAAAATTTCAAGCAAAGCGGGGACCATGAAGAAATCGCCGGAGTACCCCTTTAAGAGCATACGGAACGTGATCTTAAACTTCCTCTAATCAATATGTCTTAAGATTGTGAGAAAGGTCAGGAAGCTGGTTGGCATTTCTTAAAGAAAGTTTTAAATGAATGTTATTGTTTTTGTTAAAAAAATGCTTTAAAGGGCAAAAAATACCAAGGGATACCAAAATATTTGCCCTGATTTCTTTCATCACTCCTCAAGTGTTTCTTCAACAATCCCCTGACAGTCAAGCGATTGTTGTAGAACCTTATCTGCTAACAAAAAGCGTGACCCAGCATATTCTTTCGCTCTGAGTATACAGCCGCGGACCGTTTTTTCGGACTCTGATCATTCGAACTTGTTCGATATTTCGAACCTAAAGGCGGAACCGTGACTTACCCCATAGAAATAGTGCATATTCATGACCAATCTTTCGGACAGCTTGAAGTCCGAAAGTTTGATTATTTGGACAAAATTGTCGCGAGCGATCAGCAGAAAACACCATCGAGAACCGGCCATTTTGAATGCAATGCTGGCTGCAAATGGAGTGACTTGGTTTGGCTATGGTGCGTGGATCGCGTCTCCGGCTGGTGTGTTTAGCGTCCTATCCCTCCCATACATCAAAAGTGGTCCCCAAGTGGCAACAAATGACGTCACAGAAGCCGGAGTGTCGTGCCGTTGCCTGTCGCGATCCTGACGGTTGGCCTTAGAAATGCTGGCGAAAAGCATGAGCGAACGTGAGTGTCGCTGTCGTCACGGCATTCCAGGCGTCCCATCTTCCGGCTGCTGTAGCTTCCGTGGACTGTCAGAATGGAAAGCGACGTGCAGCAAAACGGGCGTCTGCTACATCCACCACAGCTGTTGGGACGCCGCCAGGATCGCCACCGGCGACAGCATGACACTTCTAGGACGTCATCAGGCGGAAATCGAGGGACCACTTTTTGGACGCGGTAAATGCACCAGTCGGAGATGAGTTCCAGGCACCATAGCTTGGCAGCGCTACTTGAGTACTCCTGAGTCCTACCACTAGGTGGCGCTATGCTAGCCCCTTTTTTTCCATTTAGTTGCCCATCATCATCATTATTATCATTTTGCTTTGTTTTTTCGTTCCTTTGCGTCGCCAGTCGCCATTTTGCGCTCGTGGATTTGCGCTTATCTCATTCGGACAGCGCTGGCTTGGACGTCATGGCCCCATCTGTTGTTCTGCCACCGCGATGTGTCGTTGAGAGGCGCAGAAAGTATGCGACCATAACGCTAGAAAAGAAGGCAGTGATTCTCAAGCTAACAGAAAGTTGCCGAATGCAAACGGATGCGTAACCTCAAACAAGGCACTATTTATGGCTTTTTTAAGCCCCCTTGGAAGTAATAAAGGCAAGTTTTTCAATCTGCTGACTTTTCGAACTGCTCTATTATTTTGACGTTTTTTCGGTCCCTGCGAAGTCCGAATAATCGGTCGGCGACTGTACATGGGATCAAGGCACTTCCCAAGGCTGCAGGCTCACATTTGAGCATTCTACAGAATTTCGCCCGAGCTACCCTTTTTGTTCATCTTCACATTTCGACTGTCGTCAAACACAGTTGTGAAGGCAGTGGCGTATGTGGCAGCACCCCCCCTCCCCCCCTCTAGAAAAATATTTCTGGCTATACCATCGCTGGAATTTTTTTGCACTTCTACAGCGGTAGCTATTAGTGCCCCTTTTCTGCAAAAGATGCTGATATACGAACACAGAACCAAACCCTACAGCATAGGCACTGTTCTCCCTCTCCCCGTTGTTCCTTACACATTCGTGCCAACTGTGGCAAGGCTCTCTCTCGCTTTCCCCCCCCCCTCCCCTTCCCCGTGTAAACAGCTGCTCCGAAAAGCCCATGTGATATCAGGGAGAGCGCCGTCCTCCCCCAATCATTGTTGCCACATCCACGTACCCTCCGGCGACGCTCTTTCCATCCCTCCGGCAGCCACCGTTGCAAAATACCCATGTGGTCGCGCTGTACGGACACGCTCCCTCGCCTCCTCACTGCCACCTCCCATGTTCTGTTCTCGTGTGCTCTCCGCTCCTCTAAAGAACAGCTTGTGTACATACTTTCACTTCTTCCACTGCAAAAGCGGTCACGGGGGCTCTCATTCTGAAAGAGCGTTTCAGCCAATGAAAAAAACGCATCTCTGTGTCTCTCTTCAACACGTGCAACATCCCACACAATTGTTTCACCAAAGCACACATCTCCTTGCTCGTGTCTCCTACATCAATTCCACTGAAAGCAAAGAACCCATTGCATACATTGTAGAGCACACTGGCTGAAGGCAAATCTTTTTCGCTTGCTTGGGAGAAGAGCGTGTTGGTTTGGCTCATGGATGAAGAAGGAATAAAACAATTAAAACAGGGACAACACAACCACAGCTTGAAGTCCGAAAGTTTGATTATTCGGACAAAATCGTCGCGAACGATCAGCAGAAAACACCATCGAGAACTGGCCATTTTGAATGCAATGCTGGCTGCAAATGGAGTGACTTGGTTTGGCTATGGTGCCTGGATCGCTTCAAGCTGTGGTTGTGTTGTCCCTGTTTTAATTGTTTTATTCTTTCTTCATCCATGGCCATAAATCTTTTTCAACACGCCTTTCCACAACACAGCAGCTTCCGCCGTAAATCGCAGCACACTTTGTATGGTCGTTTGTAATTTTTATTGTTGGGGCTGTTACCACTGGCACTATCCTCATCGGGCATGTTTTATTGGCTTTTGGCACTGTAAGCCAATAAAAGTAAGTCGGCAACTCTTACAGGATACCATCAAATCACCAAAGAATTGTAGTTTCAGCAATGTCCTCTTCTTTGTTTTGCATTCATGCATGATCCAGTCCTATCTGGATCTCTCAAATGTAGTCTGTTGTACAGTGCACCAAAAATTTTTGAAGCTGTCGCTATCTGTGCTGTTTTTTGCATGTTTAGTATGCATCCAGACTAGTGTGCACCCTCCCAAATTTTCAGGGTCTTCGTCAGGTGCTGACAGATGCAGCGGTGGCCTTGGCTCCGGACAGATTTATTACCAGTTCAAAGAGGGTTTCAGCAATGCGGTGCGAAGGACAGTGCGAATGAAGGACCTCTTGTAAATAGTACACAATAAATTCATTCAGTTTCTGCAAAGCCAATGGAGCCAATGTCCAACACTTTTCAAAGTTGCAGCAATAAAAAAACATTGTCTTTCTATTTATTGCTTGCTAGTCTTTTAAAATACTACAGCATCGCATTAGAGATTGTGTTAAAAATGATCTGCAGGGGCTTGAATAAAAAAAATTTTAATGTTCTGGGTCATCTGGAGCAAACATTTGGGAATTGTTTTTGGCAATGCAATAATGAACCATGCATTGCAGAACACTCAGATCTCACCGGAAGGTGTCATCAGTGTTTAAGGCAGGGTGCGAAAGTATCTGCTCAATATTTTACCAATTAAAAGTTAGAGCAATTCTCTTGAATATTTTGATAAAAACAACGATGCTCAGTTGGCAACAGATATAACTGGTTACTTGACACCGCGATTCATAGATGGCGCTAGCTGGCTATAGTCGGTGACAACTCGTGAAGCTAGGGCGAGGAAAATGAAGGTGAGCAGAAAATGGACGCAACGTTGGCGAGGGGAGGGGGAAGCCCCCCTCGCCAGCGTTGAGTCCGCTTCCTCCTCTCCCACATTCCTTTCCCTCGCCCAACCTTCTTAACCTGCAACATACTTTAGGGAGCTGCCATCTTGCCTGTCTGGGGTGCGCTTGGACCAGTCATAATCCGATTACGAAGCCTTGCTAAGGCGTCGTAATCGGATTATGGCCTCTCCCGAGAGCGCACCCCACTGAGGAAGATGGCGGCGCCCTGAGACCGGACTTGCAAACGTGTATAATAAAACGTTTGCTGACTGACTTGAGATGCGTGATCGATGTGCAGAGTTAAATACCAAAGAATGGGCCCAGGGAATAGAAACACGGGAACATGTCATGGAATGCAGGGGCCGACTTGCTCGGAGCCCTGGGATTCGGTGAGGACAGTGGTACAAAGGATTTGGAAAGGTTGAACATGGTTAGAGAAAGCCACAGGAATGATATGAATGATGTTTAAAATCAAGGGAAGGATCGGATATCTGCGCGGGCTTGGGCGCAGGTGCGTATCGAGTGCTGACGCCCGATCTGGCAAGTGAAAATATGTCATAAAACAATGGGAACGAGCTTTTCTCCCCGTATCTTTTTTTTGGAAACAGGCATTCGCCCACTGATATCGCAGAAATCGGCGCTCTGGGGAATTTTTGATACAAAGCACTTGCGGGGTAGCGACCTTGCGAAGCGCCGCAAACATATTTTTCGCTTTGTGGTGGCGAAATTACACTCCAAGTCTGCCGAGCAGGAAGAATCTCGAATGTCATCTGTGCCCGTTCTATAGAATGTAATTGCATTCTTTTGAGGACTCGAGCGTCCTAGAGATCAGATCGGGCCGGAATTTGGGGCCCGACCAGACCCGGCCCGATAAAGCTTTGACCCGAACCCGGCCCGAGCCCGAGTGGGCTTTCTAAACGTAAGCGTGAGCCCGACCCGACCAAAAGCAAGTTTGGCCCGAACCCGGCCCGAACCCGACCCGAACCCGACTGCTTTCTTCGACATAACTCTAACTCGAACCCGGCCCGAGTTAGACTGTTTTCTATTAGTTCTACCTTTGTTTTACATGACACCGTTCATCTAGAAAGTTAAACATTTGTTTCAAAGGTCTGCACAGCCATTTTATTTACTCGGTTTTTTTCTAGAACGATAATACGTGTTTCAAGTGATTCTGTTGGTTTCGCCATTGAAATATGATGTTTAACAATTGATTAATTTAATAAGTGATCGATTAATTGGTAGTGAATAATCAGGTTAAGCTTTTAGTTGTTCAGCCCACGGGCCGCGTGGGGCTGAACAACTCGCCGATATGGTTCCATGCAGGGATGGGCAAAATACATGATAATATGTATCGAAATACAAATACAAAATACTTCGTCAAAAATGTATTTAATTACAAATCTAACTACATTTCCGAAAAAGCATTTAAATACAAGATACAAATACAACCAAATGTATTTGGTCTCCTCCAAATACTTTTCCATATACATTCCTCAAAATTTGCGGCAGCGACTTCAGGGCACCTGCAATGGCTTTCTGGTTATCTCATTTTAATTTCGCATCGCACACTCGGAAGTTAGTGTGCGAGGCTCTAGTAACGTAATAGAAATATAATTAAAAAAAAATGTAATCAGCTTGGACGTAATAGATGAAAAAAGTACAGAGCTTCAAGCAGCTTTTTTTGTCGATTACATTTTGGTATAGACAAACAAAGAACCGAGACGACCAAGACGCGCAGCACTAGCTAGAGAATTTTTTATTGTTGCAACTCGCACCAGTTACGAAAATCTGGACGACCCGCGAATTTAGAATGTTCCAGGCAAAAATATGGATGGAAATCAGGCTGGAAAGCATCGCAAGTTGTTACAAGCACTTATTTAGCCAGGCTGCCTGTGAACATTGATTTCGTCACTATTCTTGCCCTGGACTAGCACCGTAATCACAAAGTTACTAAACACTTGTGCTTGATTGAGAGACACTACATTCGGTGCAGAACGTAGTTTTCTTCCTGCTCTGGACAGAGACAATAAATTTGAGGGATGTATTTTCGCCCACAAAATTGTATTTAATTACAATTGTATTTGAAATACAGTAAAGAATGTGTCCCTCCCTGAGGGTCACTAGGTTGTTTTGTCCCGGTCCTTCCTAGAAGTCGTAGGTCAGGGCCGGGCGATCGTGGACAGCCGCGAAGGATGGTCGCTTCTTGCTCGTTGGTGGTGGCGGAGCCTCGAGGATAGACGCTCAAGGTCGGGAGCAACGGTTGATAAAAATAAATGTATTAAAACGTCAACAGCAAACTTGGTGTCAGAACTCTACTGTCCGCTCACGGCAGTAGAAATACCAAAAAAACGCGCCTCGGCGCAAAGTGCCCACCGCGCACGGTTGGGCTCAAAGAAACTGCTCGTCGCTCGCGACAAAGCTACGCGGACCGGCGGACCGCGGGAGATAACTTGCTCCGCGCACGGGCTTGTTCAAACTCAACGTTTCCTCGCCAGCGCGGACGAGAAAACTCCCCGCTGACACAGGGCCTGTCCAATCAGGACGATTATACAATTCTATTGGCCCCAGTGCCAGCGGGTCCTCCACCAATCACAGAAAGGCCACCGAACTCGTTATTTCCCTTTTCTAAGAAGAGAAACAATGCCAAACCCTTAGGGGAACTCTTCAATCGGGGCGATACTTTACCGCTTTACGGGGAAAACACCCCCCACTTCGCTGCGTCAAAACAAATTGGCGCCGTGACCTTCGAACCTAGCGAGTAAAGCGTAATAGAGTCCAAGTGGACCCAGACCGGCGCCCCTCATCGCTAAAACCTCATTGTAGCAGTCTCCCGACTGGACAAGCCGTCACTGGGAACGCGCCGTGACGACAAAGCCGGGGAGGATGCCACTACCTCGCGGCGACAGGCAAGAATGTCTGTCTCCTTCCCGGGCCAAAGATTAAAAAGGGCTCAAGCCGCTTATCCCCCTATGCTCGGGGCGAGCCGTCGGGGTGCCCCCATGCATCCGAACGGTTGAAGGTCGATTCACTCAGTTTCCAGGAAACGACAAAATTCTCAAGCGATCCCTACAAATACCTACGTTTTAGTATTTAAATACACACGTCAAATACAATACTCAATTTGTAATTAAATACAAATGCAAAATGCACAAAGTATTTGAAATACTTGTATTTGAAATACTGCCCATCCCTGGTTCCATGTGCTATCAAGATTGTGGCTATCTGCATCATAGTGATGTGACCACGGTCTTTTTGCGACTCTCCCGAGCGTTCGCGATCACGTCGGGCTTGGTGCTGACCCATCGCAGCGGGCTGCAAACCCTCTGCGACCAACCAACACCTCCTGGACCAACCCGGCGATGTGTAGGATGAAACGCGGAATAGGATTTCACTCGAAATATGCGACGTGCTCATAAAAGAAAATAGCAATAAACGTCACGCTCATTTTTATCAGCGCAACCCGCACGTTGCATTTTCAGGTCCAACCCCATCCTGAGCTTCGTCATTTGCTATGACCCTTCTGCAGATCGCAGAGCTTGACTCCTGCGCGTTCTGCGAGAAAGTGTGCGCACCGGCTTCTTTCGACACATACGCGACGTCTGGTGGAGCGGAGTCATTGATGTTGATAACTGTGTCCTGGTTCTCGGCCATTGATGTTTTAGGGACCTATTGTTAATCGGCGGAAGTGATGGATCCGCGGTGTGTGAAGAGGGAAAGGTCTGGGCTAATTATATATGTTTGTGAAGGAATAAAGGAATATTACATAGTTAAGCGCTCGTGCAAACTACACTTCTTTTATTCACGTTTACGAAAAAAAACAGCAGCAAAAAAAGGTAATTTTCTTGTTCCCAACACGAGAAAAAATCAAGCGTATTGTTAGGTTCACTGATGAGCCAGGCTTCCTGGATCCTAGAAACGCCTTCTCAGGGGCCGCGGCCTTCCATTTGAGAACAACTGACCTAGAGGGCAGTCATAGTTTAGCGGACGTAATGACCCGCGGCACGATATCCAGGCTGGCGCTTTTTGTGTTAGAACAAACTTTCCGCACCTTCCTTTGGTTTTCGAATATAAAATAAATATTTACCCCAATTCCGAAATATTTGGCAAAGTCGGGCCGTCCCTCGGGTCCCGATGCCTCCAACTAGGCCCGACCCGAGCCCGTCGCAGTTCGGGATAAATCGACCCGAACACGACCCGAACCTGAACAGTGCTCTCATATAATTAGCCCGAGCCCGACCCAACTGTCGGGCCGGGCTCGGGCTTTCGGGATAGCGTGCGCTTCCGAGGGAGATGGGGGTTTAATATCCTCCCAAAAAGGTAGCGACGGTCGCTTCCCGCCATACTTGAACCTGGGCATTTTATAGAACCGTGTCTTTCTCACTGCGAAAATGCTTTTAACTGCATCGCCGATCGTCCGTTCTCCGCCTAAATGTAGCGGCAGCGGTTGGGATCGTATGCCAAAGATTCGGCACAGGAGAACGGGACCCATTTCCCCGACGAAAATTTCCGAAAAT